GAAGCCTCAAGAGGGGGTCTGGGGTACCCCGTAGTAAGATCAGTGTAGGTCCCGCACTCAAGGTGTATGTTATACTCATTTCGCTGGTCAGAATCCTGTGAATGAGTCTTCAATAAAATCACTAATGGTTGTTGTGGCTTTTGTGAATGTTTTGATGGTGTTTGCTTTGTGATTGTTGCTGGTATAAAGGAATGTTCTTGATTTTACATATGTGTATGTTGTCTTTGTATTTCTTCTGGTGGACAGTCGAGAACATAAATTTTTTCTTTCCGGCAAATCTGATTCCGTGACAACTCTCAAACATAAGATGTTTCCTTGGCCTTTACTATTTATAATCATTGGAATCATAGAAGATAATCCAGTATTTGTTGGTTTGGGGAGAGAGGGAAACAGGGAGAGAAGAGCTAAATTCTTTAAATTATTGTTTAATGTTACATTGAGAATATTTTGCATAAAGACATTATTTATAAATTCTATTTTGGGCCCATATTTTAAAAAATCTTGTACGGTATTATTTGATAAATGCAATAGATGTAAGGTGTAGGAAGGCTTAATAATAAAGTGAACCACCTACGACCTAATTTAAGAACCAGAACGTTACTAGGAACCATTCAAACTCCCTGTGTATCCCTCCTGGATCCTTCTCCATAGAGGTGACTCCACCCGAGAGGTGACTGATCTCTAGATTGTTGTAAATTATCATTTCTTCATTTCTTTTTTTTTAATTTTTTATTCTTAATTTTATTTTATTTTATTTTGGCCCCGCCGTGCAGCTTGCGGGATCTTAGTTCCCTGACCACGGATTGAACCCAGGTCACCTCAGTGAAAGCGCCAAGTCCTAACCATTAAACCACCAGGGAATTCCCTCTTTCTTTTTAAAAAGGAGTTCCACCATGATCACATATACACATTGGCCTAGATAATGTAATGTTTTTGAGCTTTATACAATGGTATTTTATTGTATGTACTCTTCTGCAACCTGCTTTTTTTTCACTCAGTATTGTTTCTAAGGTTCATACTTGTTATGTGTATGTTCTATTGCTTTCATTGTTTGAAGTTACCACAATTTATCCGTTTTCTTGCTGTGCACATTTGGATTGTTCCCTGGTTCTATTTTTGTGATTATAAACAATATTGCTTTGAATATTCTTATTAAATGTCTCCTGATGCAGGTGTTTGAAAAGTCCCTCTAGGGCCTTTTATCTAGAGGTGGAATTGCTGGAGCACAGGGTGTATGTAAATTCAAGTTATTTTCCAAGGTGATTACATCAGTCTTCATTCCCAACAGCTCCTATTGCTCTAAGGCTCAAGGGTTCTTAATTTATGACCCTCCAATAGTTATAAATGGTTTCTCCTTTAACCTGATTTTTACTTCTGGACCAACAGTGAAATTGAGCATCTTTCATGTGTTTATTGGCCATTCCAGTTTTCTCTTTTGCAAAATGCCTGTTCTTGTCTTTTGCCCAAATTTCTATTGGGTTGTCTTTTTCTTGTCAAGTTGTAAGGATTCTCTTCTTTTTTTAAATTGAAGTATGGTTGATTTACAATATTATGTTACCAAGTTGTAGGGATTCTTTATATATTCTAGATGTTGTTTAGTATGTGGCTAATATCTTCACCCAGTTTGTGACTTGTCTTTTCTCTTCCTTGATGGTGTGTTTTATTGAACAAACATAATTAATTTTAATGAAGTCACTTTTTTTTATTGAAGTAAACGATTTACAATGTAATGAAGTCACATTTATCTTTCCTTTTATGAAAGTTTTGTCTTTCACATTTATTTCTTTAATCAACATTCTGTTGGGTACTTGAGTAGGACCTTCTGTAGATCTCCCGAGTTTTCTCTTGAGGAGTAGCTCACTCCTCCACTATTCTGTCCTGCAAACTCTAGCCACTTTGGTCTCTTCCAGCCGCTCTTCTCAACTCAGGGAGCCCTCTGGGCTCTAAATTGGTTCTCTTCACTGTCATCTGGAAATTCTTAAGGCAGTAAACTGGGGCAGTTGTAAATTTCACTTCATTTGTTTCCCTTCTCTTAGAGATTCCTCCTTTGTTGCCTGATGCCACTGCCTTGAAAACTGTTGTTTCATATATTCTGTCCAGTTCTTTTTGTTGTTTGTTTGTTTTTTAACAAACCAGCCAAGATGTGAGATCTGGTCTCTACCGCTCCATCATGGCCAGAAGCAGAAGTTTTTCCACATTTTATTCATTTATTCTTAGGTACTTGATATTTTTTGTTGCTACTGTGAATGGTTTTTTTTTTTTTTTTTTTTTTTTGCGGTACGCGGGCCTCTCACTGTTGTGGCCTCTCCCGTCATGGAGCACAGGCTCCGGACGCGCAGGCTCAGCGGCCATGGCTCACGGGCCCAGCCGCTGCGCGGCATGTGGGATCTTCCCGGACCGGGGCACGAACCCGCGTCCCCTGCATCGGCAGGCGGACTCTCAACCACTGCGCCACCAGGGAAGCCCTGTGAATGGTATTTTTAAAAAATTATATAAGTGTTGCATATAAAGTGCAATTCTTTTTTGTTAATTTTATATCCAACTACCTTGCTATACTGTCTTATTAATTCTAATAATTTATCTGTAGATTCTTTGGGTTTTCTATGTAGGCAATCATATCATTCACAAATAATGAAAATTTTGTGGATAGTGGGCATCCTTTCCTTATTCCTGATTTTAAAGGAACTGTTTCATCCTTAAAAGTGATGTTAGCCCTAGGTTTTTGGTAGATACCCTTTTTTTTTTTTTTTTTTTTTTTACATGGGCCTCTCACTGTTGTGGCCTCTCCTGTTGTGGAGCACAGGCTCCAGACGCGCAGGCTCAGCGGCCATGGCTCACAGGCCCAGCCACTCCGCAGCATGTGGGATCTTCCCAGACCGGGGCATGAACCCGTGTCCCCTGCATCGGCAGGCGGACTCTCAACCACTGCGCCACCAGGGAAGCCGTACACGTTCTTATGTTTAAAAATTTCCTTTTCTTCTTGGTTTTTAAGTACTTTTATCATAAATGGGTGTTAGATTTTTATCAAATGGTTCTTTCTGTATCTATTGAGACTGTAATTTTTACCTCCCTTAATCTGTTAATGTGGTGAATATCACTTGATGGATTTTTCTAACATTAAACAAACTTTGCATTGTTGGAATACACCCAGTATGTTCATGATGTATTTATTTTTTAGACATTGCCAGACCCAGTTTGCTAATATTTTGTTTTGGATTCTTGCTTCTATGTTCATAAGTAAGATTAACCTGCAGATTTCCTTTCTGTTTGCTTTTGCTTGTCTAGTTTTGGTTTCGAGCTTATTCTGGCCTGGTATAATGAGTTGCTGAGTATGCCTTTTTCTGTTCCCTGGAAAAGTTTTCATAAGATAGGAATGATCCTTGATTGAATGTTTGATAGACTTTGGATCTGGTCTTTTCTTTGTGGGAATGTTTTAAAATACTTATTTTATTCCTTTAATATTTATGGGACCATTTAGGATTTCTGTATATTTACACCCAGACACATATACACTCAATTCTGTTACAATGTTTTGAAAACAAATTTGTTCCAACACAATTGTTATATTAGGGAACTATTAGAGCATAACTTGAATTTCCTGTTGCTTGTGTACCAGTTTTGTCCTTAAGAAACACTAGGTGAACACAGAAAACTGTACCCACCTGAACTGAGTCCCATAGGGATACACAAACATATATATAGATACACATATATACACATCTCAAACACCTAACGATCAGCTACATCAGTTTGCTGTGTGTGTTATGAGCCACACCCATCCATATCTGGTGTTACAGCTTTCTGTTAAATTTCAAATAACTTCTACCATTTGATAATGGTAGAACCCACAAATTGCAACACTTTCCCTTGCTTTAATCCGTACTCGGTGTATATGGGGAATGGGGTGGTGGAGTGAATGGGAGAGAAAGGAAACTAAGAAGAGACCAAGTTTTGGGTTTTGGTGACTGGATAGATGCTGACGTAAATTCACCGAAAATGCAGGAGACAGAACGTAGGTGGGGAGAAGGTGAGGAGTCCATTTTGGACATGTGATGTTTTAACTGCCTGGAAGACACTGAGATGGGCATCTGATCTTTGATTCTGGGGACCTGAAGGTCAGCAGAGAGCTCAGGGTTGGAAATAGAGTGGGGTAGAGGTGGTGGTAGTGAATGAAATCACTGGCCCTGGGAAGCCCAAGATGACCACAGAGCATCAAAGGAAGAAGCAACGGAAAAGTCAGAAAATGCATGGTCAGAGATGGTGGAGGAGAACCGGGAGGGAGGTAAGGGAGCCAAGGAGGACAGGGTTTTGAAGAAGCACGGACAGCATTATGGCTACCTGTGATTGAGGTTTCCTTGGTCAGTGTTACCCCACCTAATCATCAGACCTGTCCCAACATGTAGGTAACAGTGTACACATTTCTTTCATGAAATAAATGGAGGGACTTCCCTGGTGGTCCAGTGGTTAAGACTCCGTGCTCCCAACGCAGGGGGCCTGGGTTCGATCCCCGGTCAGGGAACTAGATCCCTCATGCTGCAACTAAGAGTTCACATGCCTCAACTAAAGATCCCACCTGAGGCCCGTGAGCCATGGCCGCTGAGCCTGCGCGTCCGGAGCCTGTGCTCCGCAACGGGAGAGGCCACAACAGTGAGAGGCCCACGTACCACAAAAAAAAAAAAAAAAAAAAGAATCCGCCTGCCATTGCAGGGGACACGGGTTCAAGCCCTGGTCCAGGAAGATCCCACATGCCGCAGAGCAACTAAGCCCGTGCGCCACAACTACTGAGCCTGCGCTCTAGAGCCCATGAGCCCAACTACTGAGCCTGCATGCCTAGAGCCCGTGCTCCACAACAAGAGAAGCCACCGCAATGAGAAGCTCGCGCACCGCAACCAGAGAAAGCTTCGCAGCAACGAAGACCCAACACAGCCAAAAATAAAGATTTTTTAAAAAATTTATTTTAAAAAAATCACACGCAAAAAAAGGAGGGAATGGCAGGTGAGGGTCAGGAGACAGGAGACAATGCTGTGGAGCGGGGTGGCGGGAGGAGAGTAAACCGATTATTTGAAGAGGAGGAGAAAGTGAAGGGAACAGGAAAGGCTGTTTTTGTTTGTTTGAGGATGAGGGCACCATGGACATTCACTTGTTCAGTTAGCAAACATTTATTCCTGTTGAATGTTCACTTCTGGGCACTGAGGAGGTAGCGGTCAAAGTCCCTGCCCTCATGACATTTCTGTTTTAACAGGGGTGTCAAGCAATAAACAAGAAAGCCGTTGAGAACTATATAGTTGTATGTGGACGTGGGTTCTACTGAGCACAAGCAAAGTGGGTGGAGCGTAGAGACGGGGTGGAGCCGGCGATTGTGGGGAAGCAGGAAAGGCCTCCCTGAGGAAGTGATACTTCAGGAGGGACCTGATCTTGTGAGACCTTGAGGGACTGTTGATGGGATGCAGGGGTGGGGCTGAGAGGGTCTTGAGCAAGTGGATGGCATGCTCTCCTGGATTTAAGTGGAGATGGAAAAGGTCGTGGAGAGGGAAGGGGCAAGGGGAGATGTCTGCCTTTGCCGGCAATAGGCCCAGGGCTGGCCGTGGTGGTAAGGAGAGATCTTCTTCCTCTGAAACAGGAGGATGGGCTCTGAGGAGGGTGGGTGTCAGGAGAGGGACGTGGATATGGGGTGAGCTCAGTGGGCAAATGTGAGCCGAAGGTCGAAGAGTAGGATTAATGGAATTACAGTGGAATCGAAGCATAGAGTCAGAGGCAGGGATGCTGGCGTTTGGTTTCAGAGGAGGAGTGGTCCTGTGATACCGAAATCCTGGGTCAGCCATACCTCCAAAAACTATTTTAAGCCCTGGATGGCTCCACAAGCTTTGGAATCAGGCCAACTTGGGTACAAGACCGTTTCTACCACCAACTGATCGTAGGCAAGTTGCTTAATCTCTTTAAGCCTGTTTCCTCATCTGAAAATGAGAATCATAGTACCTGCTTCATAGGGCTGCTATGAAGAAGAAATGGAATACCTTTTGGCCAGCCCTTGATTACCTCCTGTCTCTGAGATCTAACCCCTAACCCCCAGAGGTGGCCCCCTGCAGCTGTCTTTGTACAGTGAGGCTCTGATCCTTGAGACTGCACTCCCGGGAAACAGTACAGGTAACATAAAATGTGGCACAAGCTCTGATCCCACCTGCATTGCCCAGGTTTCCAAAGCACAGCATAACATAACATGGTAGAAACTACCTGGCCTTCGGTCATAACAGGTACTGTCTCCACAGGGCAAGTGATCTTCCAGTGTTAAGAAACTGTTCTGTATGTGTGCGTATGTGTGAGTGTGCAGTGTGTGAGGTATGTGTGTGGTGTGTGCGCCTGTGCACGGCGGGGGGTGAGCAGAGCTTCCTGTCAGCCCCTTCCTGAACCAGTCAGGTGGACAAGGAAGAGAGACCGAGCCCAGCTCTTTCTCTGGGGCCCTGTGACCTCAAGGATCAGATGCCCATGTCAGTGTCACGGGGCCAGAAAGTTCAGGTATCAGACAGACTGGGTCACACACTGTACTCTCTCTCTGAGGTCAGGTTCCTTCTTGTGCTATAGCATTTGTAGAGGAAGCTGAACACTTTAAGCTCTGAGGGGCACATCCTGCCTGAGCGTGTCTGAGCTCTGGCCGTCTTAGACCTCGCACCTAATCTCACACCTAAGAGGCAGCCAGAGGTCTAAAGAGGAAGTGGAAGGGGGCCTAGCCCTGGGCAGTGGGCTCAGGAGGGGACTGAGCCAGGGGCTGGGAGAAATGTGGGGGGCAGGTCTGCACCTCCTGGTCTCCCTTGAGGTATCTGGGCTTCTCTAGGAGGAGTTGCTGGGGCATCAGGGTCCCCACAGGTTCCTCAACTCTTCCCCAGGCCCCAAACCCACAAGAGCCACCTGGCCACTATCGAGTCTCAACTTTTCTTCTCTTCCAAAGGAAGGAAGGAACCCACCTCCCACACAGCATCTCTGGTCTGAGGAAATGCAGACGCTGGGACATATGGCTGATGGGCCATAGCCAGTTTCAGTGACATCAGGCACCCTCCCCTTCCCTCCCCGGGACAGGGCTTTCCCAGGAGGTGGGGTGAGAAGGCTGGCCACAGGCAAATTTTACAGACTCAATAGAAGATAAACCCTTTAATTGTTTCTGAAAAAATAAATCTCAGTGGATCTTTCCTTCCCGAAGACATGTCCTCTAGAAAACGGTGGTTCCTGTGCTTTTATAAGATAAACTTTCAGGGGACTTCCCTGGCCGCCCAGTGGTTAAGACTCCGCACTTCCACTGCAGGGGGCATGGGTTCCATCCCTGGTCGGGAAACTAAGATCCCGCAGGTGGTGAGGCACAGCCAGAAAAAAAAAAAGATAAACTTTCAGAAAAATATTTCCGCAAAAATAACTTGTTCATAAAAATGATGGGTCTTCGGTGGCTCAACATCAGTCAATGTCCACTTCTAGAAACAGTGTCATCAACTTAGCTGTACAAAGGGAAGGAAACACCTCATGTCTCGCTCAGTCTATCCCCACCACTGGCCCCATTTGCTCCCTCTGGGGTCTGTTGGCCTCGCTGCATCTGTCTCTCTCCTAATTGGACATCCCAGCATGTCCATCTGTCCCCATTCTGCCCACTCACGTGCTGTCAGCCTCTCTCAGACATCCAGTGGAACATCAGGGGAAACGAGTTCTGTGTGTCTGTCCTGTCAGGTAGCTTTGCCATCCAAGCAGGTTGGTGGGCCTGGTGCTCCCACAGGAAGTCTGCAGACCAAGCTGGTAGGGGCTTCCTTTTTCCAGGAATAGTTGCTACTTGTATGCTTTCCAGGTCACAGGTTGCCTGGAGCTGGGTAGTCAGGGGCACAGGCCTATCTGAGATGTCCTGCAGTCAACAGGCAAGACATGACAGGCGGGGGTCCTGGAGCCCAGGCCACTCCCTTCAGGAGAGTCACCGAAGATGCCATATCCCAGGGGAAAAGATGGGTCGTGTGTAAACTGTGAAGCAGGGGTGCCGAAGGGCTGAGAAGGGGGACTTGGAGCCCAGAAGATGCTGCTCCGGCCGTTCCAGCTCACAGGAGTCTCAAATTCAAGCGAGGCTGTAGCTGGTCCTCCTGTTGGAAAGGGAAGAAGCCAAAGGGAAGGATGAGGTGGGTGGGGCCCCGTGGAAGTGTCAGTGGCTGCTCCTTGTCTCTCTAGCAGCTCCTCCCCTTCTCAACCCTGTGAATGAAGCTAAAACTCTGTTCTTCCGAGTCCCACCAAGCAGTTCCCCATCCACCTGTTATTCCCCGAGTGTAGCGCATGATCTCAGTAAGATGGGCTGGAGTCCCAGGCCGTCCGCAGCAAGCAGTGAGAGACCCATGACAAAGCCACTTCCTGCCTATCGTGCGTGGTCCTCTGTATCTACAGGGACTCGTGTTTGTAAACGCGTGAGCGTCAGCAAAAACGTGGACAAGGCTCATGAACGTCTGCTGGACCAGACGTGTTGATACTGCAGCGCCTGCTTGGCCTCAGGCTCTGGGCTGAGCTCTTGGGACGCAAAAATGAAGAAAACAGACCCAGCTTTCAAGGTCCCCACAGTCTACTGGGAAAGCCAGACAGTGAGCAGATCACCCTTGGGCAGTGGGATCGGCGGTTCGCAGGGGGAAGAACAAGGTCAGAGAGAGCTGCTCGGTGCAGCCTGCGGCGGGGGGGCGGGGGGAGAGTGGAAGATGCTCCCAGGTTTCGGCTCCCAGGCTGGAGGGTGGTGCCATTCACCGGGACCAGGGCACAGCAGGAGCAGCGATTGGGGAAGAAGATAGATTCGGTTTGGGGCTCACTAAGACTGACTGCCATGCTTGTGGGACATCAGGTGGAGGTGACCAAATGAGAGCTGTGCACACCTGCATGCCTCCCGGGTGTTGGCAGCCCTCCTGTGTATACCCGTGTGCGAGAGGTGCCTACCTCCCAAGGGAGCGGGAGCTGTTCCGACTGGGCACCTTTGGAGTGGGGCCGACCATGAGGATGCACAGACCGATGAGGATCATGCAGGTGGGCATGGCTCCGATGAGGACCTTGAGGGTCACCACTACCTGTTCCGCCTGCTTGCAGGCTCCTGACTCATACCCCGCAAAGCTGGGGAAACACCAGCCCATGCATCCAGCTCAGAGCCTGGCTTCCTGACGGAGGGGACCCAAATGCCCAACCACCACGCTATCCTGAAACTTGGATACTTTCCTGGCCACATCAGCCTAACTATGGGGGACGGAGTGTGAGGGAACGAACAGACCAGGGAGGAGTTCAGAGAAAGCTGAGGATGTGGGAAGCAGAGGCTTCAGAAGGGGTACAGCCACCAAGAAGGGCCCCTCCCAGTCATGTGCACAGAGAAAGTAGGGTGGAGGTTCCCACACACCCTCCGGACCCACGGGTGACCCCTGGCTGGCTAAGGTGGGGGACTCTGCCCTCTGCTTCCCATGCCGCTAGTCTTTTGTGCCTCTGGTACAGCCCAGCTCTGTGACTCACTCCAGGCTGAGAGTGGAGATGCCCAGGGCGCCTGCACCTGAAAGCTTGGTGAAGAAGACATAGGATGAGTAGAAGATGGTCTCCAGCCCTGGGCCGTGCTGGTGCTGCAGCTGGAATTCATCCACCACATCTGGAAGCATGGACCTGGGGGAGGGGGCTGCAGAATTATCCCTTTTATCCGATACCTCGACAAGCCACCAGCCTGTGAGCTCTCTGGGGACAGAGAGTGAGTCAGATTCACCCCTGGGTCCCCGCTGCCCAGGACCGACCCACAGAGTCAGGCAATATTTCCCCAACACACAGCTGTCCACCGTTCCTGCCACCTGGTGCTCTTTCAGGAGGGCTCCACAGATGGTGCTGGCAGCCTCCATCTCCTGCAAGGGGGAGAGCCCCTCCCCAGCGCAGCCTGTGCACAAGGCCTGGGATAGCAGGTTGGTGTGAAGGAGGGATACCCAGTAGGAAGGACGTGAGGCTCCCACTCCCATTTCCCTTCACCCAGCCTACCAGGGTAGCAGCAAGGACACGGCAATGCTCACGCCAGATACAAAGGCCACGACGTATGCCACGGGTGCTGTGGGCATAGCAGCCAGCAGGATTGCAAATGGCACCATCCCCTAGGGAGACAGACACACTAGCTGCTCCCTCCACCTGCACCCCCCAGCTCAACTGCTCTTTGATTCACACACTCAACGCTCTACTGATGACACCTTGCGCCTGGTCCCCTGCTAGGCACTAAGCACGCAGTGAATATAGACGCGGCCCTGCCGGCCCCCAGGAGGCTTAGGCTCCAAGGTCACCGCCTCCCCCCCCACCAAATCCCTCCAGGCCTTGCTTCCTGCCTCACTCACAAAGATCCCGAAGGCCGACATCCTCTTCCCAAATCGCTGCAGAACCCACTCCCACATCGGGGTGCTCAGCACTGCCGAGACCTGTGAGCGGACAGAATCATCACAGCCCAGGACACGCCGCCTGCGCCTCTGCCAGGCCCTCAAAGCCCTGCCTTTTAGGAGGGACGCTCGATGTTGACCTTGCCACCTGTTTGGAAACAGTGGCTGTGAACTTTATGAGCCTGGCCCCAATTCCACCCTCTGCTGAAATGCAGGTGACAAAGACCACAGCAGAGTCCAGAACCCTGACCATCGGAAGTCCGGTCACATGTGTCACGTCAAGGGTCACACATCCCCAACTCAGGCCCCCAAGCGCCCTTGCCTCTACCGCCCCAGGTCCCCTCACCAGGATGGTTAGCACCAGGCTCTGCACATGGTCATGTAGCCGGGAGGCGTGTGCACAGAACAGGACCAGGTAGCTCTGCTCCACCTGAAGAGGTCGACAGGAAGTGGGCGTGTATGGGAAATGGCAGAAATGTGGAAGTCAAGGGCAAGGCCAAGGTCTCAAGTCTGGCCTCCCCTTTGGGACCTCAAGCGTCCGGTTCCTACCGCCATCACGCAGTCCCCTCCCCAACGAAGGACGCTTATCGCTGACACGGGTATAAATGCCATTCCTTGTCCCGCCCCCCAGCAGGGCTGAGAACCACCCCAGACAGCGTCAGCTTCCTGGTGTCTGGGCCCTGACCCTCCCCAGCCCCACAGGCTCTAGGCAGGTTCCTCTTCTCCCAGCACCATCCTCACCCGGCGCTTGCCAGCCACTGGTTTCTCTCTGGTGCGGTGGGGACGAGAGACACCTGAACCTACGCAGGGTCAGTATGGCCAGAGCCAAGCCAGTGGGGATCAGCCTGGCCAGAGGTACCTGAACGGCTGCCGAGATGAACAGGAAGGAGATGACCAGCTTCAGGTAGGGCGGGTGCCGCACTGTGAGCCGCAGCCCAGCCAGGAAGCTCAGGCCCTGGCCGGAGGCTCGGGCAGAAGCATCTGCAACACAGGAAGGGGGCATCTTGGCTTGGTGGAGTTCAAAACCAAAACCCACGCCCAAGAGGAGCCCGGCCGCAGCTTCTGCTTCCCACACTCTGCCTGCACCCCACACCTACCTGGTCGCTCCTTCACCCCCAGGCAGAGCAAACTACTGCACACGGGGTAAGTCACAGCAACCACAGTGGCTGCAATGGAGTAGAGACGAGTCTGTGGGACAGGACAGAACTTCAGTGGGGGTGATGTCTCCAACCCACGGAGGTGGGGATACTCAGGGGCCAGGCAGGAGTACCTCCCAATGGGAGCACAGGGACTCTCAGCCCAAGCCCAAGGATGCTGGGTGCCCCTCCTCCCAACCAGCGCAGTAGGAGAGGGAGATCTAAAGGCCCAGAGTGGTCCTTCTGCTGACCCTCTGCCTCCTGCAAGCATCCATGCCACCATGGGTCTAAGCCCCCTTCGCCTCTCTCTCTCTCTTTTTTTAAGCAAACGTTCATTGGGGCTGATTTCTGCATGCTAGACCCTGCGGTTACGGTGATGAATAAGTGATCCTGTACATCCACAATAAGGGGCTTGGAGTGGGTGGGGAGACAGATCCATGAGCAGACAGTGTGACGCATGATGACGCAGATAAACGTCAAAACCAGAACGGTGCTACCTAGCATTCAGAGGCAGACACTTATGTACTAAAATACATTTAAGGCATGCATGGGAGTACCAGTCACCCAATTCAGGATAGGGGTTGCCTTTGGTGGGGGAAGAAAGAGGGAGATGGGCAGGGCTTCACCAGTGTGTATCCAGCACAGTTGCACAGGGTCCCACATTCAGAAGGCACTGCACTTGGGAGTTAATCCTCTGCTGTCTTGAAATTCGTGATGATTGTATCTATGAATTTGTGTTTTGTAAGTGAAGTCGGTGGAACAACAGAGCTGGAACTACCAAGAGGCACCTGAATGCTACTCGCCTTGGCTCACACGAGGCTTCGCCTTCCGGGGTGGGGATGGTTCTCAGTCTCCTGCTCCCTACTTCTTGGCATCCCAGGCCCCGCCCGGCCTCCTGCTCTCCAACCCAAGGCCACTGCCACCCCCTGTTCCACCCTCACCCAGACAGTGACCCAGTAGCTTTGGGGAGGGCACTTGTAGAGGCCTCAGTGGGGCCTAGGCGTAGAAGCGGGGGAGGGTGAATCTGCAGGTCGCAATCCCTCTGATCCCAGGCTCGTAGCACCATGATGGGGTTTGAGGGCAACTGGGCAGAGTGTCTCCCCGACCCTGATTCAGGCAATCGCTAGACTGGGGCAGTAGACCATGGGAAGGGGAAACTGACTTCCCCGCTCTCTCTGGGGCTCTACAGCTTCACTTTGCACTGTACTCGGGCAAATTCTGTAGCTGGGCTACAGACGGGTCTGGGGATGGATGGGTACACAAGGACTTCATTGTAATGTTTTCTTACGCATGGTGAACCATGGGTGTTGGTAGTATTATTCTCATACCATTAATTCCCAAATGTTGGTGGAGGTGAGTGATGTCATTTGCTTAAGGAGAAAGGGCGGGAGGGCGGATAGAAGATGAACTTGATGGATAAATAGATGCACGTCCCCTAATTGCTGAAAAGGGACCTGCTTTGAGGAGACAGGAAGGGGTACTAACCCTTTCACACTGGGGGTGGGGTTGGCGTTGGCAGTCACCCGTTCAGGGATGGGTAGGACTGGTCATAGGTCAGGTTTTGCCCAGAGCTCTGCCAGGACACCAAACCGTTCTGCTGTCTCTCTGCCCTGTCCCTGCCTGTGGCCCTTCCCCACCCCTGTCCCTTCTCTGGGGTCTGCCTCCTCCCCTCCAGATGGCCTGCTGATCTGTTGTTTGACTCCATGTTTAGAAGGCACCCAGCAGAAGCAGATTTAGCAGGGAGGATGGAGGGCATGGGCTCAGCTACAGGAGCAGGGAAGGAATGAGAGGCCATGGTGTGCAGAGCTGAGCCCCCAAACAACCATGAAGAGACCTGGGGGAGAAACAGCCCTGGAAGAAAGAAGTGACCCCGAAGCGGGGGTCCCAGTGGGTCTGGGTAGCCTGGGCACTCACCGCGTTGGGGGAAACGGCCACTTGTCCTGGGAGCGCAGTCTCCTTGCACCTGTGGGACCCGTGGGCACCAGACACGATGAGTCCATGGACAGTGGCTCCCATCAGCGTCCCTGCCATCTCCAAGGTCATCCCTGGGACACAGCGTGGAGCAAGGTGACAGCTCATGGGGCCAGGGGCAGAGCCATCCCACCCCACGCACCCCACACCTGCCTGCACTCACGGTACACAGTGGCCGAGTCCCGCTCCCTGGGGCTGGGGGTCAAGAGCATGGTCAGTGCCGTGTAGGGCACCTGGAAGAACTGGGGCACCGGGCAGAGATTAGGATGGCGCCTGCCACCAGACTGCCAACCCAGGCCAGCAGCCAAGGGCAGGCCTGCGCCAGGCTGGCACATCCCCACTGATTCCCTCAACCTGGAGTTAGGGGCGGAGGGGCACCCAGCCTAGAGCCCACGAGAAAAGCTAATGGTCGGTGGCCACCTGGTAAGCAGGTGGGCAGCAGGGACCTGGACCCCTACCCCCAGCACACACACACTTCAGAGGGGCCTCCAGCCAGCACTGGGGTTCCAGGAGTCCAGGCCGAGGAAGGGGGCCACCTGCTTACCGTTGCCAGGGCCTGGAACAGGGAGTAGAGGGCTGTGTACCAGAGGCCGCGCAGGCTGGTGAAGGGGGGCAGGAACCACAGGAAGAAGGAGGCCAAGGCAATGAACGGCGTGCAGCCCAGCACCCTGTGGAAGCACAGCCCAGGTGGAGCGCCCCGTGGCACCAGGACAGGGGACGCAAAGGCTGGGCCTGGAGCAACCTCACCCCTCTGGGTTCAAGCTCTCGGCCCCTGGAGAAGCCCTGGGCTGGGGCTTTCAGGGTGGGAGCCATGGAGGGCACGAGGTGGCCGAGGGCGAGGAGGTAGCCAGGAGTAGAGGCTGGGTGGCTGGGTTGTGCCATTCCCTGTTCCAGGGGGCACAGGCAAGTCACATCTCTGTGAGACCTTCCAATACACCCAGCTCAGCCTGGCCGCATTCCTAGACCCCCAGGGCCAGGGCAGCGACTCTTGGAGGGTTTGTCCAGCTCTGTGCCACCAGGTGAGGGAGAGGTCTATGAACACCTGCATGACTCAGTCAGACCCAATCCATTCCTGTCACCTACTGTCCAGACTTGTCCTCTAACCATCCACTAAGAAGCAGATGTGACAAACACAGTGACCTCAAGCCAGGGGTGGGTGCCAGGATCCTGAGGACCATGGGGCTGCTCACCAGGGCATGAGTCGTCCAGACCCTGTCCTCCTGCTTCTGTTGATGAAGAACCCAGCCAAAGGGTCAGCAGCTGCCCCAGACACCTTCCCTCCAAACAGGACAAGTGACACCTGGGCAGCAGGGATCTGAAAGGGACAGGGGAGGGGATAGCCAAGGCCCGGCAGAGTCAGAGAGGGTGTCTAGGCCTGCCCGCCCATCAGGAGGAAGATCTGGGAAACTGGCAGGGGCCAGAGCCACGGTGCAAAGGTTTTTTGGTCTCTTCCCCAGGACAGGAATCCAGAGAGCTCCGAGGGCCTATGTGCACCAGTAGAGAAGCGGGAGGGAGTGATAGCTGTTCCCTAGCACATTCCTGTTATACTTATGCCCGGTCACTTTCAGAGAAGACTTGAGAGATCTTCCCCTGAAGGGCTCAGTGCAAGAAGGGTGCACTGAAGCTGACAGTCAAAGGCAGACCTTGTGTTTCACAATGAAAATGTTTTATTGATTTTTCTGATTACATAAATGATACACTCATTATAAACACATTCAAACAGTACAGAAAAATATTGAGCAAAGCTCATCTGAAATCCCACCATCCTGAGACAACTGCCAGGAACATTTTGATCATCCTGTCCTGCGTTTCCTTATGTGCATTTGCAATTTATAATTTTACACAAATGGGACCGTATCAGCTTCATTTTAAAAAATCACAGAAAGATAAATAAGTCATGGATACCTTATTAAAAAGTTCTTTTTTGTTTACCCTCTATCCTCCACCATTCCCTCCTATAGCCAACATTAACACTCTGGCGGATATCCTTCCGGAATTTACTTTCCCCATGCTCATCCTTTAATCATGTACAGAGGTATATACATCCATATACCCATGCACCCACATATATGGGGCATGTTTTTGTTTTGCTAAAATAGGATCATTTTATATACCTTTCTCTAAAACTAACTTTTCTCACTTGACAGTGCATCATGGAAATCCTTCTGAGTCAACTGGTATAGATCTAACTCATTCTTTTGAGTGACTAAACAGTAGTCCATTATGTGGATATAGCCCAACTTATTTTCCAACTACTTCTATATTTGGGGGCATTCATGTTGTTTCCCACTTTTCCACTACAAACAGCCTGCAGTAAACATCCTTGAGGAGGTTGCCCTCAATAGCATTTGGTTTCTTCTCAGGCTTGGGTCAGAAGTACCATCTACCAAGGATGATGGGGGTGGAAGTAAAGGTGGGGTGAAAGGACCAGACACCAAGGAAGATGGAAGCAGGGGGCCCCCGAGGCTGCTGCCCACACTCACCTGGGCCACATCGAGCAGGAAAAGTTGCAGGTAAAAGGCTATGGCGCTGGAGGCCACCTGGTTGGGGACCCCTCCAATGCCGTAGCACACCTTCGTACAGAATGAGAGGCGACCAGCTCCGCTGTCCTGGGGGAGACACAGGAGCTAAGCCCCCACAGACACACAACAGCTCCCTCCAGCCCCCTGACTTCCAAAAGCATCCTGAGGTCCCTATGTCTTGAAGGCTTTTCCAGCAACCTCTCAGTCCTAATTTGTCCCAAATCATCTTAAAAGGAAGTGAGACAGAAAAAGGAAAAAAAAAAAATCCTAAACCATGACCTCTAAGCATTTCCAGGGAGAAGTTCTTCCTTATATTTCCCCACAGTGCTTCCTGCTGCAGTCTGTTTTATTCTCCAAGTCAGCAAGCCAGAGTGAACTGGGGGTTAGGAGGCCCCTAAATTTGCCACCAGCTTCCTGTGTGGACTTTGAATAAATCACTTTATCTCTCTAAGCCTCATCTGTCAAATGGATATTCCTGCCAACTTCAAGGGATTTTTTTTTTTTACATCTTTATTGGAGTATAATTGCTTTACAATAGTGTGTTAGTTTCTGCTTTATAACAAAGTGAATCAGTTATACATATACATATGTTCCCACATCTCTTCCCTCTTGCGTCTCCTTCCCTCCCACCCTCCCTATCCCACCCCTCTAGGTGGTCACAAAGCACCGAGTTGATCTCCCTGTGCTATGCGGCTGCTTCCCACTAGCTATCAATTTTACGTTTGGTAGTGTACCTATGTCCATGCCACTCTCTCACTTTGTCCCAGCTTACCCTTCCCCCTCCCCATATCCTCAAGTCCATTCTCTAGTAGGTCTGTGTCTTTATTCCTGTCTTACCCCTAGGTTCTTCATGACATTTTTTTTTCTTAGATTCCATATATATGTGTTAGCATACGGTATTTGTCTTTCTCTTTCTGACTTACTTCACTCTGTATGACAGACTCTAGGTCCATCCACCTCCCTACAAATAACTCAATTTTGTTTCTTTTTATGGCTGAGTAATATGCCATTGTATCTATGTGCCGGATGTTTTGATGAGCAAATGAGGCAATGGCTCCAGGAGCTGATGGTTAAACATTCGGGACTTTTGCAAGCCAGTGGTTACTGGCAGCCTGAAATCGGCCACGGTGAGAGTATTTACACCACAGAAATCAGTAAACAGCAAAAAGCAGAGTTTTGTTTTTCTGGAGAGACTGTTTACCAACCCACCACTAAAATGAAGTAATGCTTATGACCCCAAATATATGTGTGTGTGTGTGTATATCCATATATATATATATATATATACACATATATCCCTAAGCTACCCAGTGAACTCCAGACTCAAATTAAACTGTCTACTCACAGCCCCACATGGTTGCCAAACAGGCATTTCAGCTTAGCATGGTCAAAACACAGCTCCTGATTTCCATCCCATTGTCTTAACCTCTTAACCCTGTCGTCCCCATTGCATTAAATAGCTCCAATGTCCACTCAGCAGCTCAGACCACAAACCTAGGAGTCATCCTTGATTACTCTTTCCCAATTCCCCTGTCTAATCTATCAGTGAGAGCCTCCTGAGTGGCTTCTCTGCTTCTACTCTTGTTCCCTACTATCCACTCTCCGTCCAGCAGCCCAACTGATCTTTTCATAACATAAATCAGATTGTGCCTCATCTCTGCTTAAAACCCTCTAACAGCTTGCCATTACAGTTTGAATAAAACTCCAAGTCCTTCCCATATTGCCTACAGGCACCCACCCTATCAGCTCCCATTCCCTTTCCCACCTCACTTCAGATAGCTCTACCATGGTAGCCTCCTCCTTCTTGTTACTCAAAATGACCTTTTCTGTTGCTGCCTCAGGGCCTTTGCACTTCCTGTCCCTTCTGTCTGGAAGGCTCTTCCTCCCGGTCTTTGCAAGAGCTGACTCCTTGCCATTCAGGCTGAAGCCTAAATGTCATCTCTTTAGAGAGGGCTTCCCTGACCACCCAAATCTCTCTCAATTGTACTAACTACAGGATATATTCTTATTCATTTCCTGCCTCTCCCCACCAGCATATAAACTCTCTGAGAGCATGAACTATATAACTTTGATTCACCACCATGTCCCCAGTACCTAGAACAATGCTGGGCATATAGACAATATATATATTTGTTAAAAGAATAAATGCCATGAAGACACTGTGGAAAGTGCTATTTCTTCCATAGACGCTGGGAATCCTTCTTTTTCATCTTTTGCCCGGAGATGGGAGGGGGAGTGGAGAGGACCATGGCTTCACCCATTTTTGTATCTTGCCAGACACCCCAAATGAAAGAAAGGTCTTCCCAGATAAGGGTTTATCAAGTCCTCTGCACTCTTCCTACCCACACATGAGGCAGGATGTGGTCTCCTTTTCTGATATTTTTGTGAACTCTATTTCAACTTCCAGAAAGCTTAACAACAGGCAGAATCCAACATGATAACTCTCCCCCCACCCTGCCCCCTCCATAATGGGACTCTGGTTTCCCACTAAACATACCTATCAAGTTTCTGATACATAGAAGGCACTTGAAACAGACATTCCAGCTGAAACTTGGTATATGATACAATCTTGGAATCTTGAGGAAGGCAGTTTTACCTACCTAAATCATAAGCCCTTCACAGTCACCTGAGATCAAGTTTCAGAGTTAGACAAATTCGACAAATTTGAATGCAAATTCTGTCTGCCATTTCTAGCTGTGTGACCCAGGACAAGGTACTCAGTGTGCCGAGCTTCATTTCCTCACATTTAAAATGGGGATAATACACCTCATAGGGTTGTTATGAGAATTAAACGCTAGCATTTCATGGACCATGTTTCCCCTCTAGCTATTCCTCACCCTGAGTTTCTAAATTTCCCTGGGAAGTGAGAGTCCCCAGAGGGCCTCTTAATCTTGCTTGCTTTCTTGGAGGCCACAATCTTTTGCTCCGAGGTGCTGGAGAGGAAGCACTGAGTCAGCATAGGGAATTGAAGCCACAGACAGAATGAACGCGTTGAGCACAGGGCGGGCAGTGGATTTTTGCACTCATCAGTAAAGTTCAGACGTCCTAACTCCTCTCCAACACAGCCACCCTGAATGACATGCGCCCCAGCCCCATCCACGGGGTGGGGGGAGGGGGAATGCGAGGGGCTGAGGGCGCCCCTAGGTTCCCGCCTGCCCGCTACCCTCACTTGGGAGCCTGGTTGCCAGGAAGGACATCTCTAGAGGCAGTCTCCTCAAGGAGAGCCCGGCGCCTGGAGGAAGCCAGGTTTGAGAGGGTCGCTGTGGCTGCCCGCAGCACCTGCCCGGAGACTGGGGAAGGAAGGCAGCCTCCTCACGCACCACTCAGCGTCCTGCCTGCCCAGGGTGCAGGCGGCCTGGGGAAGACCTGGAGTGCGGTGGACAAGAGCCCTAGACTGGCCCTGGACCTGCCTGACTAGGTGAAGGAATCAGCAGCTTACTTCGCTTGTCTAGGACTCGGTTTCCCATCCTGTTCTCTTTGGGGCTCCCGAACACCCTCAAGCCTCTCGGCTCTCAACTGTCAAACTCCACCAGGGTCAGTTCAACAACCTGGAGGCTTGCCGAGGCTGGCTGAAGGCCTACGCCCAGACGCCCGGAAGGTCCCCGGGGCCCCTCCGGCCCAGCGCCCGCTCTGCGCCTGGCTCAGCCCCCGCTCCCCTTGATTTGCGCTCACCGAACCGGGCTCCAAGGTGTGCGCTTCCGGCGGGTGCGGCGGCGTCTCAACTGGCGGGGCCAGGGTCCCTTCGGGGGACACTGCCATTGCGCACGGCTGCACGCGCACTGCGGCCGTCGCCCTCGGTGTTATCGCCCGGCCGCCCCCGCAGGGAGGGCGGCTCCCGGGCCGAGAGGGCGCGGCGCGAAGAGGGGCGGGCTAGCGGGCGCGCCCCGGGCCGGGGGCAACGCGCGGCAAAACGGGGAAGCCGCGAAGTGCGCGGGTTCGGTTTCCCGAAGTGAAAAACGCCAGAGCCCACATTTGCCGGGGGAAAGGCTGGCCAAGTCACTCGGGACCGTTTTCCTTGGGGTAGGTCTCCGAGGGAGTGAGAGCCAGCGGCCGTTCGCGCTAATCTCGCCTGCTAAATCCTCGTGAAAGTCGACAAACAAGTTCATTAGAAAAACGAAGCAATAGAATTGACCTGCTCAGACTAAGACTATGACTGAGTAGGCTTACAACCCTCTTTAAAAAACTGATACAGGATGCCCGAAATACACATTCTCCAGCCTCATACAGATAATGGGTATGGCCATGTAACTAAGTCCTGGCCAGTGAATAAAAGCTGAGTGGTGTAAGCAATTTCCCAGAAAGGTCCTTAAAAGGGAAGGGGTCACATCATATACAAAAATTAACTGAAAACCCACCACAGACCTACGTGTAAAGGCTAAAACTATAAAACTCTCAGAAGAAAGCAGGAGCATATCTTCATAATCTTGGGTTAGACAAACGTTTCTTAGATAGGATGCCACAAGCATAAGTTGAACTACATCTAAATGAAAAACTTTGTGTTGTAACCTATGCAACCAGTGAAAAGACGACCCACAGAATGGGAGGAATGTTTGCAAATCATAAGGATTTGTACTGGAATATATAAAGAACTCAAAACTAAACAGTAAAAAGATAGCCAATTAAAAATTAGGTGAAGGATTTGAATAGATATTTCTCCAAGACAGACAAATGGACAAAAGGCACATGAAAAGATACTCATGTCATTAGGGAAATGCAAAACTACAAGATACCACTCCACTAGGAGGGCTATAATTATATAAAAAGACAGTAACAAGCGTTGGGGAGAATATGGAAAATCATACATTGCTAGTGGGCATGTAAACTGTGCAGGTGCTTTGGAGAAGTTTGGCAGTTCTTCAAAAGTTAAGTATGAAATTATATGACCCAGCATTTATTCCACTCCTGAGGATGTTAACAGAGATGAAAACATGATCACGCAACAACCTGAACACAAATGTTCATAGCAGCACTATTTTTAATAGCTAAAAAGTGGAAACAACCTAAATGTCCATCAACTAATGGCTATTTAGGATGTTAGGAATATTCATACAATGGACTATTATTCAGCAATAAAAACGACATGGATGAACCTTGAAAACATTATGTTGTGAATAAAGCCAGTCACAAAAGACCACATATTGTATGATTCCATTTACATGAAAATGTCCAAATAAATAAACCTATAGAAAGAATGTAGACTTGTGGCTGTCTAGAACTGAGGGTGGAGAAAGACTATTAATAGGGTTTCTTTTATTTTTTATATTTATTTTTTTGCGGTACATGGGCCTCTCACTGTTGTGGCCTCACCCGTTGCAGAGCACAGGCTCCGGATGCGCAGGCTTAGCGGCCATGGCTCACGGGCCCAGCCGCTCCGCGGCATGTGGGATCTTCCCGGACGTGGGCACGAACCTGTGTCCCCTGCATCGGCAGGCGGACTCTCAACCACTGCGCCACCAGGGGAAGCCCCATGGGGTTTCTTTCAGAGATAAAAATGTTCTAAAATCAGATTGTGATGGCTGCACAATCCTGTGAATATACAAAAAACACTGAGTTGTACACTTTAAATGGGTAAATTGTAAGGTATGTGAATTACATCTCAATAGCTTCTTTCAAAAAGGGAATGGGTATGCTTCTTCTATTGGATGAAATGATGAAATGCAAATGTGATGGCTGGTGCCAACAGGCTATCTGAAGACCTCAAGTTAACTGGTGCTGAGATCCGCAGATTAACAATACTGGAGTCATGACTTTTGATCTAGCAGCTCTGAACTGCTTCCCTCTGGACTTCTGCATGGGAAATAAAATAAAATGTATTCTGTAAGCCATTATTATTTTGGATTTCCCATTACAGCTAAATCTAACCTGAAAGTATACACTACCCAGTATAAAGCAAGTCATCCCATTTTCTATGCCTCAATTCCTTAATCTAGAAAATGCGTACCTTCAGTTTCCTTGATTGCAGCCCTAGCAAATAGTGCAAAGATAACTAGACAATGCATGTGTTAAATATTTAATTTCTTGGAAACTAAACAAACTCAAGATGAGTTTCTTTGGATAATTTACGTTTGAACACGACACTTTATATGCAATTTCAGCAGGTTTGGAAACACTTCACTCACAATACTTATACTGTGTTGCATGTACTACCACAATTTTACTTTTGAAGGGAAGTGGGCAACAGAATAAAAACAAAAAACACCTCCCTCCCTTTTTTGCACAGAAATGTAACTAAAAGGCATTTTTTTCCCTAACAGTTACTATTCTGCTTAAAGTGATGGTATATTCCTAATGCAATTTTTAAAGACAAATAGACTTCAATAAATAAAACAGGCCAACAATAATCAAGAAGCCTGTCTTTTGAAACAAAACTAAAGACTGATACACTTCAAAACATCTGAAAGGATGCACACCAATATGTTATTAGTAGTTATCTCTGAATGGTGGAATAACAGGTGAGCTAAAGATCACTGTAGCATAACTGTATAATTTTCTCCAATGAATATGAATTATCTGTGCAAAAAACATACAGTTAAATCAAGTGACAAAGAGCCAAATATTAGTCTACTGAATAAGCCACTTCTATCTGAAGATTCAGTGTGATGAGCAACGTTTAAATTAAATGGTTTGTACTAAGAGTAAAGGGGTAAATCTTACTAAGGAGTCTTCATGCTAGTTCAACTAAGGACACAAAGGATGGTGTAAGAAATAAACACAACCATTGAGTTAGTATTAAAAATATCACATTTTAACACTTCTGAGTACTAAATGAAAGTAACATTGGTTAAAGTACCTGGCAAACAGAAAGCACCTAATAAATGTTTGTTGATTCTCAAACTGAATGACTTTGCCAAATAAAAATGACAAATGCATCCATATGTAACTATTTCATAACAAATAAATGTAAATTATCTCACTGATCCTTTTAATGAACAGTAAGTATTTCATCTTCAAGACAACAGTTCTTTAACCATTAGCAAGATTGCTTTCAAAATACTTTAAGGCACTGAAATAGATGCATACATAATTTCAACACAATTAAGTATAATGAAAAGTATTCTGAATGACAGAAGTATATAAAATAAATAAGATCACCTTTAGAACCTGGATAATGCATAGTAATTTAACCAATGAATTAGAATCTGTAAAATTAGATATGTACTTCTGCATATTACCCCCAACAATGGTTTTAAACTGATTGATGCCACTTTTGAAACAACTACTTAGGTCAAATTATATTCCACATCTAAGATGCTGGCTTTATTTTCAAGTTTGCCTTCCCTTGCTAAATTCAGTTTGTTTTCTGAAGTCAACATGTTTTGGGTATTCTACATATTTAATTAACAACTTTAGAATTTTAAACTTTAATGTAAAAAGCTTTATCAGATGGTTCTCACTTTAGAAAACCTTTAAGAATATCATCCACATTAATTAGAGTTTTCACAGTTACAAAAATGAGGGTTCTTGCTGATGACAGGTCTTTCTCTACAGAACTTCTCACTGGGGTGTATTCTGCATGTACACACAAGAAAACCTCTAATGTGTCTTCTGGTTATTACTATAAACTGGAAAATCCACAAAGGAGGGCTTTTTATATGTACAAGAAAAATATTTCCAACAAGAAGCCCCTTTATAGAAATATATGGAGAATCAAAAATTGACTTATATTTATGCAAATGAAAATTATAAAATGCTTCATGATAGGCCTACATGAAACATTTTCTTACAGATTCTTGAAAATATATTAACAATGACTTACGTTACATCTGATTTTACCATCCCCTCATTTTTTTTAAGAATGCCATTATTTTTGTTTTACTAAAGAGACGACTCTACCACAGACATAAACGTTACAGACAATAAATATTTTCTACTATATAACTGTTCATTTCTGAGGGTAAATGACAAAAGGAAAAGGCTCTCCTTTGTTCTCCCTCTCTTCTTGATAAAAAGACCTCTACCACCTAGAAGGCTGAGAGCTAGAAAAGGAAGCATTCTCAAAATGAACTTCAAACATAAGATATATCTTATAAATCAGGTCGTCTAGTTATGTGTATATTTCCCTTTTGTTATCCCTGAGCCTTTAATAAAAACCTCATTTAAATGTTGCAGCCTTGTCTCAGCTGTGCTTACAGAAGATAAAGCACAGGTTTATCTCATGATTAGTTCAGAATTAAAGGGTGGGAGGACAGTCTAAGAACAAACTGGTGGACTACAATAAAATTTAAAGGTCTAACAGTCCGATTTCAGTTGAGTCTTGCACTGTCCATGATGCAGCACACAGGTTTTATTTTATTAGGGTGGAAGCTTAGTGCAGGATTTCCTGAAGACTGGTTCTCCTACTACATACCTAAGAATTACTTGGGATTAAAAATGTAGACATCTGGAACCCATCCCAAATACAATGAATTGTTAAAATGTGTGTGGTAGGTGGCAGGTAATAGGCATTCTGAAAAGCTTCCCAAGTGATTCTTACATATTAAGGCCTGAGAATCACTGCAAATCACTGCTTTATAAGATTAGCTCTTGCAAGGGTTCTGCAAGGTCAAAACTATTTTCATAATTATACTAAGACGTTATTTGCTTTTTTTCACTTTCTCATGAATGTACAGTAGCATTTACTATAGGCTACATGATGTGTGATACTGCAACAGACATACAGAAGCAGATGAGATTCCATCTGTCTTCTTTAAATCAGACAGTAAAGGTATTTAGAAAAAATGAAATACAATGCCACGTTTCTCACTAAATCTTTTTAAATTTTGGAAAATAGACATTTTTCATAAATATGTTCTTTATATTAACACGTTTATTATTTTTAATGAATATTTTATAACTTTTTTATTTTAAATATATTAGTATTTATAACCCACATAAACAAAAGTCTTGAGACCAAAAAGTTTGAGAACTGCTCTTTCCAGCAGACATCCAGTACCCTATGAACATTACTGCTGTTAGGCATGGCCACTTAGTTCCTTGGCACATTCAATGTATATTTCACTTTAAATATGATTCAATAGATCGTCTGCAAAAGCTTCTTAAACTTATTGTCAGGCAAGGGGATTTAATCTGACAGGGAAATACTGAAGTGTAACCAGTTTTAGTTAAAAATCTAGCATGTTTTCCTTACTGACATCATAATGTAATAAATCCTTTAATATATAAATGGGCTGTGTGATGTATGAAATAGAAAACCATACTTTACATGACGCATTTAAAAAATGTTAATTAGTAACGTGACAACACTAGCATTAGATTCTATGTGAGTGGTGGCAAACAAATGGCCCGCTCCAAATGTTAACTAAGAACAAACCCCTAATTTTTTTTTTTTTTTTTTTTTTTTTTTTTGGCGGTACGCGGGCCTCTCACTGTTGTGGCCTCTCCCATTGCGAAGCACAGGCTCCGGACATGCAGGCTCAGCGGCCATGGCTCACGGGCCCAGCCGCTCCGCGGCATGTGGGATCTTCCTGGACCGGGGCACGAACCTGTGTCCCCTGCATCTGCAGGCGGACTCTCAACCACTGCGCCACCAGGGATGCCCCCAAACCCCTAATTTCTGAAAGAAAATAAAGTAGGGGATAAACTGCGGTTCCTAGAGAAAAAAGAATTCTTTTAAATTTATACGTTTAGAAAATGTTGAAATGTATGTCAGCAGATTGATACTGACATTATACTAAGCCACACAATTTTATTCTTAAATGAAAATACATCCCAGATATTGTTGCCAAGTTAATATTTGAGTGTATCTTGCCACTAGACAATGCAAATTGGGAACACTTCTGAGGGTGAGGCATAGCTGTGGTGAAAGCAGTTCCTTTCAGCCTTTTGATTGTATCTCAGATATAAAAAAATTGCATTGATGTTTTTAACCTGCCATGTATAATTTTTTAATGTATTGCTATTTAAAAAAATCTGAGACAGCTAACATTTAAACAAATCACTGCTGTTTGGGAATGATGTTTGAATGAAAGATGCTATGAACATATTTGCTAATTTATACCGTATTAAGATTTTAAATGATATAGTTATTTAATATATCTTATGTTAAATAACTGGTATTTGAAAATAAGTCTATTTTTCTTTCTGAGTAGCCTTCTGGGAAAAGTTCATTGAATATAGTTTCCAGTCATAGTTTATTTTCCTAACTTGTACTTATTTTAAAATCTTCTCGTCAGGAGGGAGTTAAATAGTGCAAAGCTCAGCAAATCTGACTTCCCCCCCATTTTGGTGTACATGTCCACTTATGACCATCATTTTTCTGGAAACCTTCCACTTAGTGTATCAAAAATCAATGTTATAAAAGTTCTTTAAAAGGTTCAGCGGTTTTTTTGAGTCTCTGAATGATTACAGCATTCTGTAAATTGGCTTCTTCCAGTGTGAGTGTTTCATCTAGTAATTTGAGGAAAGGAAGAGCTGTTGCCAGGGAAAAGGGAGGACTTCTTTGTGATCCTTGGTATTTTTCGATGAAGTCTTTGATGTGGCTTACCCTGTAAAATAGCACAAACTATTAATATAATTTTATGAAAACCTGAATTAGTTAATTTAAGGTAATAACTTGCGATGATACCTGGCTATGTTAATCCAGAATAATCAAATTATGTTGATGTAACTACTCACTTGGGCTATCTTTTAAAGGTTCACCCCTGATAATAGTCAGGAATTACTATTCCTTATCTTAGATGTGACAAGGGTATTAGAGTTACATTTTGAGTCTCTATTTTTTAGAAACACATTCTGAAATATCTACATATGAAACTATATGAAATCTGGGATTTGCTTAACATAGTTCAGTGGGAACTGAGTGATGATGGATCATTATATCATATCTTTGCTTTTGCATATGCCTGAAAGTTTCTATAATAGAAATATCTACATATCTTGCTCTGAATGGATCAGAAATGGTCCAACCAGTAATCCTACACAGACACAGGCTGTACCTCTTCAATACCACATCAGGCTGTGCTTCAAATCTAGTTAAGATAATTCTTAAACCAGTGCACGTAGATTTTCAGTTAGTATAATAAACACTATAATGTAATATAATCACTGCAACCTTTTTTTTTTAATAACAGTGATTTTTAAAAAATTATTTATTTATTTTTGGCTGCATTTGATCTTCGTTGCTGCACGCGGGCTTTCTTTAGTTGCGGCAAGCGGGAGCTACTCTTCGTTGCAGTGCACGTGCTTCTCACTGTGGTGGCTTGTCTTTGTTACAGAGCACAGGCTCTAGGCGTGTGGGCTTCAGTAGTTGTGGCACATGGGCTCAGTAGTTGTGGCTCGCAGGCTCTAGAGTGCAGGCTCAGTAGTTGTGGTGCACAGGCTTCGTTGCTCCGCGGTATGTGGGATCTTCCCAGACCAGAGCGCGAACCCGTGTCCCCTGCATTGGCAGGTGGATTCTTAACCACTGCGCCACCAGGGAAGTCCTCCCAATCACTGCTATCTTGAAGGTAGCTCAAAGTTATGTTCATGTAAGTATATGCGTGTGTATTTAGAAAGGGAAAGTACGTATACAGTTCATCGAAATTAAGATGCCACTGGGAGTTCCCTGGTGGCCTAGTGGTTAGGATGCTGGGCTTTCACTGCCATGGCCTAGGTTCAATCCCTGGTCAGGGAACTGAGATCCTGCAAGCCAGGTGGCACGGTCAAAAAAACCCCCCTGAGATGCCACTGATTCTAAGACTTGTCATTTTATATACTACTAAAATTTTTAAAAATCCAGATTATGACAAAATAGTTTCTTAAACACTTAGAATTTTTATACTTATTGAAAGAGCACTTTTAACTAATTTTCACACAAACATTCATCAAATCACTTACTTCCATAATAAGATTAGAATAAAATGATTAAGTCATTCCTAACAGTTGAACGTTATTCAGACTCAGATCCTTCAAATCACTTCTGATTCAGTTCATTGATGTACATGTTTTTCCATATAATACTCCCTTCTGTATCATCGGGTGTGTTGATGATACAGCAGTACTTTGAAAAGTGCTCCACTACTGTCTCTGGGATGATCTTTCATTGAGCTGACACCTGTTCTGCATGCTTTGAGGCAGATGCCAAGGCAAAGACAATTGTGTCATTACTGCCATATGGCCAACAAGAAATTATAAGGATGTATCCCCATTTCAGAGATGCTAAAATGTGAAAAAATGTGCAAACAAGAATTAATGAAATATGACATCACCAAAGACAGAATTTTCCCATTCAATCAAATTCACCAATTGCTACTCTGTTAATCTGTGCAGGTTACCAACAAAATCAAGAAAATGGTCACTTGTATTTATTGGGTACCAAAAATTGGATAATGAAAGGCTAAAGCTTATGGCAAAGAATATAAATACAAAAAAACCCAATAAAGATTAAAGGAACTGTGCAGTAAAAATTAAAAATGTGTACTGTGATCTCTGCAATACTACTACAAGAATAAAGAAATGCCAATCTAAAAAGCTATGAGAGGATAAAAAAATAATACTCATTAAGCTCAAAAAGAGGCAAGAAAGGAGGAATGAAGAATAAAAAGCCATGAGGTAAAGAGAAAAAAAAGAGCAAGATGGTAGCCTTAAACCTAACTAGTTCAGGATATTATAAAACATTATAAAAACTGGACTAAACATTCCAATTAAAAAACAAAGCTTGGTTAATTATCACTTAATAAATACCATTGGCCAGTCAAAGGTTTTTAAATGCTTCAAGTCATTCAGGGAAAAAAAATGGTAGGTGACTATTTGTTATTGAAAATGCCAGAAGTATTTTTCTAGACAAAGAAGTTGGGATTAAAATAGTTTATTTCCCTAAAAAGAAACAAACCTGAGTTGTAGAGAACAAACTTATGGTTACCAAGGGGGGAAGGGTAGGGTGAGACGAACTGGGAGAGTGGGATTGACATATATACACTACTATGTATAAAATAGATAATAATGAGAACCTACTGGCATACAGGCCAGATATGAGAGGGAGTTGTGGTGGCCCAGATCAGGGAATCCGAGTCCAGGTTGGGTGAAGAGGGCATCTGCACAGGAAAGCGGCCCAGCTTCCTGGTGTCAGAGTCTGACCAGCACGAGGAGTGCGCCCATGTAGAGGGAGGCAGGTGGGGACGGTTGCAGTATGAGCAGGGTTAGGAGTGTGTCCACACAGAAGAGGTGCTCAGTGCAGAGTGTCAGAAGCCAAGTTGGGTTAGGAATATAGGAGAGATGGTACACAGCAGGCTGTCTCAAGCAGAATAAAAAGAGCATTCATACAGAAGAGGGGCCAACTGCAGTGTGTCAGAACCAGAAAGAGGTGGCAAGTGACCACTCATAGGGGAGGATAGGCAGCACTGACTGCCAGAGCCCAGGAGGGCAAACAGGTCATTGGCATGATGTGATATGTCAAGAGACCCAGCAGGAAGAGGGAGGTTTCCAGGCTGGGGAGGAGGCAGCAGTAGAAGAAGGAGACTGGTTACATGTAGGAGAACTGATTAGTAAATAAATATATTGGGGGCTTTCCTGGTGGCACAGAGGTTAAGACTCTGTGCTCCCAATGAAGGGGGCCCAGGTTCAATTCCTGGTCAGGGAACTAGGTCACACATGCATACCACAACTAAGAGTTCACATGCCACAACTAAGGAGCCCTCAAGCCGCAACTAAGGAGCCCGCCTGACGCAACTAAGATCCAGCACAACCAATAAATAAATAAATATTTTTTAAAAATAAATAAATATATTGAGAGTAACTGGAGCCAGGTTTCTCACTGAAGAAAGTTAAACTGAAGAAAGTGAAGAAGTTAATTACAAATATGGAAAGGGGAAAACTAGAATAAACCCTGTGGTGGTGGATTGAAATTAGAGCTATCTATGTGAACTCATGGTTTTCGCTATGCAAAGATATAGAAATACATTTGTAAATGTGTGTGTTAGTGTGTGTATATATATGCGTATGTGTATGTATGTATAGACACCTGTAGCTCTTTCCACTCAGAGGGCCTGGGAATGCTGGCAATAAGTATACCTAGTAACCAGATCCTCAATACCCTTGGCCACTAAAAAGAACCAGGGCTTCTTAGAAAACGTACAGAACGAACCTGAAAAAAAATTTTGTGCCAATAAACAAGAAAATGCTCAAAGAATGATGGGAAGATGTAAAAAGTTTAAAGGAGGTCCCAGGGACTTGGAAACCTATATACAATATGTTCCTACTTTAATTAAAATGAAAAAACATTTTAAGACGAGATAAAAGACTGGAAAAATCCATCAAACTAGTAGTAGTGATTATCTCTGGGTAATGGAATTTAACTTGATTTCAATTTCTTTCAGTACTTTCCTGCATTATCATTCCTTTTCTACAATTAACAGAAAAATACACACATAATGCTAACGATCAACTTAAAAACATATTAAAAATAATGCTTTTAAAATTATGTATCTAGATAAACAGGAAAACTAATGAAATGATAATCCATAAAACAGACTGAAAATACTATATTAATGTCCAAGAATTTCCATTGTCATGAAACATTATGTTTAGAGAACTATTTATTAAGATCCTTAGTTCTTAAAAATAGCTGTTGACTGACCTGAAAAGAAGAAATACAATTAAAACTTAGGGAACAAATCAGACTAATAATGAAATGGAAGACTCACCTATGAGAAACGTTAAATTTCTGGACAATCCTTTCCCCATTGGCTAACCAGATCTGTATATTAGTGATGGGTTCCAGACTGTTTAGTGGGACAGTAGACAACTTATTTTTATTCTCAACTTCAATAGTCTTCGCTTTAGAAACAATTTTTGGTGTAGCACTAAGAAAATCCAGACAACAAGTCAGATGCATGTTTTTCATTAAGCAGAACTTTATCATTAAACCATTACTATAAAAACTTTACAGTAAGTATAGCTTTTAGGAAGATTTTAGCTAGTCACAGCTGTTCCCTAACACATAAAGGTATTAATATCAGTTATATCCATTATACATGATGATCATAGGAATCTAATAAAATTATGCACATATAAGTAAGTTGTAAGCTTGTGGACTGTTACGTAAGTATACTTGAAGAGTATACTTATGTATTTGAATCATGCCTTACAGAACAATTTTATAGTGCTGACAGATCTATGGACTTTACCTTTACCTACTCCCCAGGTTAAAATTTCTAAAAGAAATTGTAAGTTCTCTGTAGAGAACAGTCCTTGGGTTATAAAGGAAATGAAAGGAAACAAAGTATTCCCTCATCACTCTGAAAGTCACATTGGGATATTTTTACATGTGTGGATGAATATGCATTTATATAACTTACCAATCTTGATAATTAATATATGGGAATTCATAAAAATGAAAGCAATCCTATAGTTAACCTCTTTGCATATTCTGCCACAGGCATAATTAGATAAGATGATACTGCAAAGTTTGAAAATATTGGGCTGGTCAAAAAGGTCGTTCGGGTTTTTTGGAAGAGCTTATGAAAAACCCGAACGAACTTCTTGGCCAACCCAATAATTAAAGGCTCTGATACCGATACTAACTTTATCAGGCATTATTTCACTTTTATTACCTCAAAATTCAGATACTGATCAGAGAACACAATGCTGAAGGCATTGGTAACTATAATACAGAACCCTGTATCCAAAAGCTAGCCTATGTACTCTGTGACATTAACGGCAAAACTCAAGTGGTGGGTGCAAGGGAGAAAAAATGATTTAGCCACCCAATTTTGCCCAATGTCCTCATTAAGCCAGGCACTTTTTTTTTTTTTTTTTAAAGCCAGGCACTTTTGATCAGACAAAACCAAAACAGCCACCATGACTTTTTAGTATAGTGCCAGCATATGTTAATTTACACTAAGGTGAATATGACTTAGAAGTTCTCATAAAAGTTAACATGAAAAATCTCATTTCCAATGGGAGAAATGATAACTCTATATATGTGGTCTACATAGTAAAATAATGACAAGCTGAATATTAGTCAAACCTCTGCTTATGGAAATTACAGATCATGAGCCTACTCACCTTCCCAGTCTGTGACCCTGTCCTGAGAAGGGCTGGAACACAGGTTTCGTTGACATACATACTTCATTTTTCTTATCTTCAACTTTAACATCGACCTCCTCTTTATCAAAAACTCCCTGTAATTCTAAAGGTAATTCTCTTGGAAAGTAAAGAAAGAAAGTGATAAAGCCCCTAATATGTTTTTTCTTTCTCTGAAAAACATACTGTGCATGTAAAAAGAATAGAAAAATATACAGAAATAAGAGGCATATATATTCTATACAATAAAAACTAAATGTATTTAAAATAATAGAGAAAAATCAAGCTCTTATTTCATTCTTTAAAATGAAAATATAGCTACATGCTGGTTCTAGAAAAACAAGACATAAAAAAATGTAAACACATGTAGACTTAAGAAAGAAAATGACAGCCCCCTCCCCCAAAAGTGACAGTCCTTATAATTCCACTCTCACTCTAATAAAAAGCTTTGCAGTGTATCTCCTAAATTTTCTCTCTATATAGTAAAATTCCACATAATAATTATATTTTTTCCAAAGATGGTATCATTCTATGTACACTATTCTGTATTTTGCAAACTGCTTAAAAAAAAAAAAAGCAATATACCACAGAAATTTTCTCATGTTAGTATATGGATATATGTCATTCATTTTTACCACATGCACACTGTTATTCTGTTATAAAGTAGATCAAATGGTACAAACATAAAATACTCTTTTTATCTTTTTCTTACTGACTTGTAAGAAATATGTATATATTCCATTTACAGGATATACGAGAAACAAGTATTCCCAGTTTGGCATTTGATTTTACATAATCAAATTTATCTTTCTTATACTGCTTCTGGGATTCATGCCAACTATAGCTATATGCAACAACATGGATGAATATCCCAAAGAAATAAGTTAAGTAGACACAAAAAATAAACACATTGCATTTACACAGAGTTCAAAAAAACAGATAAAATGAAAAAATTATAAAGAAAAGCAAAAAACCATAAAGAAAAGCAAAGAACAACTTACTACTGAAGTTAGGATAGCATTACTTCTGTGATATTACTACAAATAATGTGTAATTTAATCTTATCACGAGGACGAAATTAGATAAATCTGAATTGAGAGACATTCTACATAATTTGGGCCCATAATCTTCAAGTGTCAAGGTCATTAAAAACAGACAAAAACAAAAACTGAGAAACTGTTCCCTCCTGAAGGAGACTAAAGAGACATGACATTTACAAGCAATGTGTAATTCTGAATTGGATGCTTTTGCTATAAAGGATAATATTAAGATAAAAAGTGAAACTTGAATACATTCTGAGGAATAATTGGTAATAATATTATACATCAATAGATGGTTGTATTGTGGTTACATAGGAAAATATATTTCCTTTTTAATAAAAATACAAACTGATGCCTCATCATCCTGAATACTTTACTTTAGCAACTTACTCTCAAATACTTTTAGAAAAGTTCTTTGTACCACACTTGCAACTTCTGTATTAGTTTGAAAAAGATTCCAAATTAATTATATTACATAATATAGAGCCATTTAAAATCTGTATATACGTTGTACATATACATACATAGAGACCTATATATGTGTATGTATATATTAAAAATTGGTTAGATGTAGAATACTATCAACCCTTCTGAAATAAAAACTGACCAAAATAAGTACAGGGAAGTCCTGGCAGGCGGATTCTTAACCACTGCATGACAAGGGAAGTCCCAAGATAGTCAAAATTAAAAAAAAAATATATATATATATATATATATATTATATTGGGACTTCCCTGGTGGCACAGTGGTTAGGAATCTGCCTGCCAATGCAGAAGACACGGGTTCGAGCACTGGTCTGGGAAGATCCCACATGCTGCGGCGCAACTAAGCCTGTGCGCCACAACTACTGAGCCTGTGCTCTAGAGCCCGTGTGCCACAACTACTGAGCCTGCGTGCCACAACTACTGAGCCTGAGCTCTAGAACCCGCGAGCCAAAACTACTGGGCCCGCGTGCCATAACTACTGAAGCCCGCACGCCTAGAGCTTGTGCTCCGCAACAAGAGAAGCCACCACAATGAGAAGCCCACGCACCGCAACAAAGAGTAGCCCCCAGTCACCGCAACTAGAGAAAGCTGCACACAGCAAGGAAGACCCAATGCAGTTTAAAAAAAAAAAAAAAAGACACGTAGGGCTTCCCTAGTGGCGCAGTGGTTGAGAGTCTGCCTGCTGATTCAGGGGACACGGGTTTGTGTCCTGGTCCGGGAATATCCCACATGCCGCAGAGCAGCTAGGCCTGTGAGCCATGGCTGCTGAGCCTGCGCGTCCAGAGCCTGTGCTCCACAACGGGAGAGGCCACAACAGTGAGAGGCCCCGTACCGCAAAAAAAAAAAAAAAAAAAAAAAAGTGAATTAATTTAAGTCAGATTTTGGTTGGTCAGAATTCAAATTCCTGACCCTTCAAAATTACAGCTGTGGTTCTTTTAAGAAAACTCACCTTATGAAAAAATCTGAATTTATAAAAGAAAAAGTGTCTTTGAATGCATAGGAACATGTGAACAACATTAAAAGGAATCTTCTAAATGAAATATATCTAAAATATCCTTCTTGGACTTCCCTGGTGGTGCAGTGGTTAAGAATCCGCCTGCCAATGCAGCGGACACGGGTTCGAGCCCTGGTCCGGGAAGATCCCACATGCTGTGGAGCAACTAAGCCCTTGTGCCACGACTACTCAGCCTGCGCTCTAGCCTCGAGCCACAACTACTGAGCCCACGTGCCACAACTATCGAAGCCCACGAGCCTAGAGCCTGTGCTCCACAACAAGAGAAGCTACCGCAATGAGAAGCCCACGCACCGCAACAAAGAGTAGCCCCCACTCTCCACAACTAGAGAAAGCCCGTGGGCAGCAATGAAGACCCAACACAGCCAAAAATAAATAAATTTAAAATAAATAAATAAATAAAATATCCCTCTATTTACAAAGATTGCTTACCCTTTTTTGATGGAGTTCAGAAACTGCTGACTTGCACCATCAGAATAACTTCTGAAATCATCATTGACTGTGAATCCATTTTTCCATAATTTTATACTTACATCTGCCTGCAAAGCAGTAAGAAACAAAATGCATCATGTAATAAATGAAATGTACTAATAAACTAAAAGTCCCTTGAAACTTTCTTCTATCAGTGTATATTTTATATATCAATCTTTTCTTTAAAATAGAGATATAACTGACATAACATTGTATTAGTCTTAGGTATACAACATAATGGTTTGATACATATATCTATTGCAAAATGATTACAGAATAAGTGTAAACATCCATCACCACACACAGCTACAAATTTTTTAAATATACCATTCTTAACAGCAAGCTTCAAATGTAAAATATCAAAAATTACAATGTACACATAAAATATGGTTAACAATGAATAATATTTTAAAATAATTCATTAATAATTTTCTTTAAGAGAGGTCATTTGCAAAAATATTCTGTGCCCTGTCTTAGAGGACACTAAAGCTTTCTGGCCAGAACAGACTTCTCAACAGTTAGAGAAGAACTTTGAAATGACTTGAACGTTAGACTTTGAACATTAAGAATAATAAAGGGGGAAAAAAAAACTATGAGTAATTAATGGCTATTCCTTCAAATATAAACTATCAGTGTTACTGTTATCAATATTTAATCTCTCAACATCTTGTTGATTATCTCCTAAGAACATTATTTATTCACTCATTCAATCAAAGAAGTCACTGTAGAAACATAGAAAGGTTCAGAAATACAGTAGAATGCAGGGATGCTTCAGGCTGAACACAGAAGGACTGAAAAATCCATTTAAGAAAATAGACTATTAGAGGCCTTCCCTTGTCTCTAGCATTTATTCATTCAGCATATGTTTATTGAGTGCCTAATACGTAACAGACACTCCATTAAGATGTTAGGGAAAACAGTCACAATAATGATAGCATATATTATTAGCCTGCCTGCCTATCTATCTGTCTGTCTATGTACTTACCTGAGAGAGCACTTGTGTGTACACTTACATGTACCAAACACTGTTTAAAGTACTTTCCCTACATATATTTATTTAATCCCTAAAATCTACAGAAGATGGGTATTATTATTATTATCCTTTTTATAGATGGGAAATTAGAAACACAGATCAATTAAATTGCCCAATATTACACAGTCAGTAAGGGTGGAGCTGGGGTTGGAATCCATACTCTTAACCACTATACTATATTACCTCTTTTTTTTTACCTATAACCAAACTGCCAAGACTCTGCTCTCATGGTACTCACAGAAAAGAATGAGAACTAAAAAAATTGTACAAATGAACTTACTTACAAAACAGAAATAGAGTCACAGATGTAGGAAACAAACTTATGGTTACCAAGGGGGAAAGTGGCAGGGAGGGATAAATTGGGAGATTGGGAGTAACACATATATAAAACAGACAACTAATAAGGACCTACAGTATAGCACAGGGAATTCTACTCAATACTCTGTAATAACCTATACAGGAAAAGAATCTAAAAAAGAGTGGATATATGTATATGTGTAACTGATTCACTTTGCTGTACAGCAGAAACTAATACAACATTGTAAATCAACTATAATCCAATAAAAATTAATTTAAAAAAAAGAAAAGAAAAGAATGAGAACAGAACAAATAGGAAAAGAGCACATAAAGATACTGAGGAGGGGAATTCCCTAGCAGTCCAGTGGTTAGGACCAGTACTTTCACTGCTGAGGGCCCAGGGTTCAATCCCTGGTCAGGGAACTATCCTACAAGCTGCATGTGCCAAAAAAAAAAAAAAGAAGACACTGAGGAAAACAGAAGAAACTTAAACACAAAAATCCAAAAATGATAATTAATACACTTATATGAGAGGATGTTTGAAAGGGAGTAGGAGGGAATATTCAGTGAGCAAAAGAGCTCTTAGAAACTTAAAATGGAAATTAAATAAAAGGATTGAATATAAGGTTGAAGAAATATTACAATTAAAATAGAACAAAACAACGAAGAGGTGGAAAACAGGAGAAATAATAAGAGACTCAGTCCAAGAGATCCATTATTGGTGCCCGGGTCCGGGAAGATCCCACATGCCGCGGAGCGGCTGGGCCCGTGAGCCATGGCTGCTGGGCCTGCGTGTCCGGAGCCTGTGCTCCGCAACGGGAGAGGCCACAACAGTGAGAGGCCCGCGTATCGCAAAAAAATTAATAATAAAAAAATAAATAAATAAAAAGGCAAATTAGAGTAAAGGGATCTCTTTAATGTCTGACTTCGAAAAGCCAGCTAGATTCTCATAATTGCTGCTGCCTTCAGTCTGCTGTGATATGGCATTTTGATTGAAGTACATTAAAAAAAAAAAAATCAAGCCTCAAACAGATACATAGTTGCAAAAAGCATTTTAATAGCTTTTCCAAGATACTACATCAAAATGTAGTAAGTAGTAGTATCTCAAAAGTTAGTTGAGGGCTTCCCTGGTGGCGCAGTGGTTGAGAGTCCGCCTGCTGATGCAGGGGACACAGGTTCGTGCCCCGGTCTGGGAAGATCCCACATGCCGCGGAGCGGCTAGGCCCGTGAGCCATGGCCACTGCGCCTGCGCGTCTGGAGCCTGTGCTCCGCAACGGGAGAGGCCACAACAGTGAGAGGCCCGCGTATTGCAAAAAAAAAAAAAAAAAAAAAAAGTTAGTTGAAAACATCACACGGTAACACATATGTAGAATCTAAAAAACTGATACAAGTGAATATATTTACAAAACAGAAACAGACTCATAGATATAGAAAACAAACTTATGGCTACTGAAGGGGAAAGGTGGGGTGAGGGATAAATTAGGAGTTTGGGATTAACAGATAAACACTACTACATATAAAACAGATAAACAACAAGGGCCTCCTGCATAGCACAGGGAACTTATATTCACTAACTCGTAATAACCTATAATGAAAAAGAATATATATTACACATATTTTATATTATATATATATAAAAAAAACTGAATCACTTTACTGTACATCTGAAACTAACACAACTTTTTTCTTTTTTTGGCCACGCTGTGTGGCTTGTGGGATCTTAGCTCCCCAGTGAGGGACTGAACCTGTGCCCTCAGCAGGGAAAGTTCAGAGTCCTAACTACTGGACAGCCAGGGAATTTCCTAACACAACATTTTAAATCAACTGTACTTCAATTAAAAAAAAAAAAAAGTTGAGGGACTTCCCTGGTAGCACAGTGGTTAAGAATTCGCCTGCCAATGCAGGGGACACAGGTTCGATCCCTGGTCTGGGAAGATCCCACATGCCGCGGAGAAACTAAGCCCGTGTGCCACAACTACAGAGCCTGCACTCTAGAGTCTGTAAGCCACAGCTACTGAGCCCATGTGCCACAACTACTGAAGACTGCGCGCCTAGAGCCTGTGCTCCGCAACAAGAGAAGCCATCGCAATGAGAAGTATGCACACTGCAACGAAGAGTAGCCCTCGCTCGCCGCAACTAGAGAAAGCCCACGTGCAACAACGAAGACCCAACGCAACCAAAAATAAATAAATAAAAAATAAATAAATTTATTCAAAAAAAAAATTTAGTTGAGAATCTGAACATGGAATCTGAAACTTAAAGGTACATTTATTAATATGACAATAATCCTATCAGAAATATCTTTTAAGTTTTGGGAAGCTGTCAAGTGCATGATGGCAGATTATCAAAATTCTTACTTTCATGTAAAAAAGTTGATAAAATCATATCTTATCATTTGCAACAAATACTGTAAGTTGTTTCCCTTGAAGTGTCAGACTTACTTCATACATTTTGAGAAAATGTCTGCAGAATATCCAAGACTGAATAACTAGTTGTCTGTAAATCACTTTCATGTAAAAACAGTACACCATGAAAAAGCAGACTGTTCAGCTTGTATCTCAAGCAATGGTACTTTTCCTTAAGATACTTCTGTATACTGTAGAAATGTTTTACATACACTTCATATTTTATCACATAGAATATTTGTAAGATGTGTATTAAAGAGTTGGGATTTAATGAAATGTGTAAATTTTACTGCTTCATCAAGGAAATTTTTAATTGAAACGAGTGTTTTTTCCCCCTGCAAGTTCAAGGAAAGAATACGGTGTACAGAGTAGTGTCACTACCTCAATTCCTCCTAAGGTGCCAGTTTTGCCTACCATCGCTTTTGCTGTATCAGTGCAAACTCAACACAGTGAAAAAAATAATATCTTACTATTATTATGAAAACAGTTTTGACCTCTAAAGGGCCATATTTTGAGAAGCACTGGGAAAGAAAAAATTTATGGACACTTACCTGTTTCTTTTGTTCAGTGGGAGACAAACATTTGGCACCAACCTTCTGAGCTTCCTCAAAAAGGCTGTCAACAAAATATTCACAATTTGTTTGTTGATTATCACTAAGAGGTTGGTGGTCAGATCCTGTTTCACAAACCCTATACACACACACAAAAAAGAAAAATAAGCACTATTAACCACTAATTCTCTAAAAATTTACACAAATTGTTCTAGTTAAAGGATCTAGAGCTGACACGCTACCTCCACGCCTGCAGTTGAGACTCTCTTCTGAATTAACATAGTAGATAAGTGGCCTCGGCAAGTCATTAACACTTGCGGTCCAGAGCAGGGTTTTCTCAACTTCAGTCCATTGATATTTGGGGAGGGTTAATTCTTTGTTGGGCAGGCTGTCCTGTACACTGTAGGAAGTTTAGCAGCACCTGTGGCCGTTAACCACTAGACGCCAGTAGCATGGACATCCCCCAACCCCCCAGTGTTATAATAATAAAAAACATCTTTAGACAACGCCAGATGGCCTCTGGGGGTGGGATGGGCAAAACTGCACCAGGTTGAAAACCACTGGTCCAGAGTAAAAAAACAACGTGTTCTTTGTAAAGCTCTCAAAATGGCTTTAAAGGGGGTTACTATGTACTTTTTTGGTAACACAAAGCACTCTTGAAACTAAAGGTAGTAAGGTGTGAGGAACAGTCATAATCATAGTTTTGCTCCTTTGCACACTTCAGAATGAAATTTCCCACTCAAGACTTTCATCTGTAGTGGTTTAATACTCTACTGGGTTTTTTTTTTCCTTTCTTTCTTTTTAAATTGAGGTACAACTGACATAGAACATTATTTTAGTTTCAGATATACAATATAATAATTCAATGCTTGTATGTACTGAAAAATAATCACCACAATGTCTAGTTAATTGTTAACATCCATCACCATGCATAGTTACAGAATTTTTTCCTTGTGATAAGAACTTTCAAGATTTACTCTCTTGGCAACTTTCAGATGTGCAGTACAGTGTTATTAACTAAAGTCTCCATGATGTACATTATATCCCATGACTTATTTATTTTATAACTGGAAGTCTGTACCTTTTGACCACCTTCCTCCATTTTGCCCACCCCATCTACTGTTTTGGATGTGTATGTGTGCTTATATTTTGTCATATAAGAAATATTACCTAAGAGTTTGTTTGATAAAAGGATGGTTTCTGGTTGATCTTTTCTAAAGTCACATAGAAAATTCATAAATGTACTGAGAGATAATTTCTCAGATTTCTCAGATAAGAATCAACACTTTTATAGTGCTTACACTGTGCCAGGATCTGCAAGGCAGATATTTTTATCCACATTTTATAGATAAGGAAAATGAGTCACAAAGAGGTTAAGTTACATGTTAGAGATTACACAGCTAGTAAGTGGCAGAAACAGAATTCAAACCCTGTTAATCTGTCTTCCAAGTCTATGCTCCTAGCCATGATACATTATAAAGCCTCTCTTAATAACTAATATTTATTAAGCATTTATTAATACATGTTAGGAACTTTTCTAAGCGCTTTCAATGTGTTTACTCTTTCAATCTTCACAGTGACCTAAAAGGCACGTATTGGTTTGTTTGTGTTTTTTTAACATCTTTATTGGAGTATAATTGCTTTACAATGGTGTGTTAGTTTCTGCTTTATAACAAAGTGAATCAGTTATACATATACATATGTTCCCATATCTCTTCCCTCTTGCGTCTCCCTCCCTCCCACCCTCCCTAGCACATATGGTTTTTATCCTCATTTACTAGGTAAAGAAAAAGCTTAAGCAATTTGCCAAAGATGACAAAGCTATTGGTAGGCAGAGCTGGAAACTGAACTCAGGCTTCTAATGCCCCTACTCTTTTTCAATTTATTTATTTATTTATTATTTATTTTTGGCTGCGTTGGGTCTTCGTTGTTGAGCATGGGCTTTCTCTAGTTGTGGTGAGTGGGGGCTACTCTCCGTTGCGGTGCACAGGCTTCTCATTGCAGTGGCTTCTCTTGCTGCAGAGCATGGGCTCTAGGCACGTGGGCTTCAGTGGCTGCGGCACGCGGGCTCGGTAGCTGTGGCTCGCGGGCTGTAGAGCACAGACTCAGTAGTTGTGGTGCACGGACTTAGTTGCTCCTCGGCATGTGGGATCTTCCTGGACCAGGACTCGAACCCGTGTCCCCTGCATTAGCAGGCAGATTCTTAACCACTGTGCCACCAGGGAATCCCCTATTATTATTTTTAAATTTTATTTATTTTATTTTTGGCTGCACTGGGTCTTCGTTGTTGCATGCAGGCGTTCTCTAGTTGCAGAGAGGGGTGCTACTCTTTGTTGTGGTGCACAGGCTTCTCACTGTGGTGGCTTCTCTTGTTGCGGAGCACAAGCTCTAGGCGTGTGGGCTTCAGTAGCTGTGGTGCTTGGGCTCAGTAGCTGTGGCTCACAGGCTCTAGAGCGCAGGCTCAGTAGTTGTGGTGCACAGGCTTAGCTGCTCTGTGGCATGTGGGATTTTCCCCGACCAGGGCTTGAACCTGTGTCCCCTGCACTGGCAGGCAAATTCTTAACCCCTGCACTACCAGGGAAGCCCCTTACTAATTATTTAAATTCAGAGTATTGATACATATTATAACATTATAAAGCTTGAAAACATTATGCTAAATGAAAGAAGACAGTCACAAAAGACCCCATATTCTATGATTCCACATATATGAAATGCCCAGAATAAGCAAATCTATAGAGACAAATCTATAGAGACAGAGAGTGTATCATTGGTTGTCAGGCGTAAGGCACAGGAGAATGGGGTATGACTGCTAATAGGTATGGGGTTTCTCTTTGGGTGATGTAAATGTTATAAAACTGACTGTGGTAATGGTTTCACAACTCTATGAATGTACTAAAACCCACTTAATTGTATACTTTTTTTTTTTTTGGCTGCATTGCACCTTCGTTGCTGCAAGCGGGGGCTACTCTGCGTTGCAGTGCGCAGGCTTCTCCTTGCGGTGGCTTCTCTTGTTGCAGAGCACAGGCTCTAGGCGTGCAGGCTTCAGTAGTTGCAGCACGTGGGCTCAGTAGTTGTGGCTCAAGGGCACTAGAGTGCAGGCTCAGTAGTTGTGGCACACGGGCTTAGGTGTTCTGCGGCACGTGGGATCTTCCCGGACCAGGGATCAAACCCCTGTCCCCTTGCATTGGCAGGCGGATTCTTAACCACTGTGCCACCAGGGAAGTCCCTGAATTGTATACTTTAAATGGATGAGTTATATGGTATGTGAATTACATCTCCACAAAACTGTTAGAAGTCCTAAGTTAATCTTACTCTTTAAAATCAGTCATTCAAGGCTTCCCTGGTGGCTCAGTGGTTAAGAATCTGCCTGCCAATGCAGAAGACACGGGTTTGAGCCCTGGTCTGGGAAGATCTCATATGCTGTGGAGCAACTAAGCCCAGGCGCCACAACTACTGAGCCTGCGCTCTAGAGCCTGTGAGCCACGACTACTGAAGCCCACACATGTAGAGCCCGTGCTCTGCAACAAGAGAAGCCACCGCAATGAGAAGCCTGCACACCGCAACAACGAGTAGCCCCCGCTCACTGCAACTAGAGAAAGCCCACGCGCAGCAATGAAGATGCAACACAGCCAAAAATTAATAAACAAAAAATTTTTTAAAAATTAGTCATTCAACTGGGGCTTCTGTGGTGGCCCAGTGGTTAAAACTCCGTGCTTCCACTGCAGGGGGTACAGGTTGGATCCCTGGTTGGGGAAGTTCTGCAAGCCACAAGGTGCGGCAAAAATAAATAAGTAAACAAGCAAGCCATTCAACTTATTTCTCTGTAGAAAAGAGTTAACATAGCAGGCCTAACTGTTGCTATCCTTTTTACTTTTCTCATGAGAGTATGGAATTTTAATATGTGCCTAGTCCCCAGTATAAACCCTAGGCTCATTTCCAATGAACTTCCCTGGTAGACAACATCTCACACGTGCTATATAACTTATTACTGGAGGAATTAAGTGTGTGTCCTGGTGGCTCCACTGGGCAAGGACTCTTAGAAGCTTATGCCTGGTTTCCCCTGGACTTCACCCTCTTGCAAAGTATCTTTTCATTGCAATAAAGCTTAGTCATTAGTATGACTATTGGCTGAATCCTGTGAATCCTCTAAGCAAATCATCACATCTGGAGGCAGTCTTAGGGGCTCCTGACATAACCTCACAATTATATAGTTAGTATCAGATATTTATATAAAACAGTAAGTACTCTAGTGAAAAAATAATAAATAATATTTGTTCGGTATAGAAAGTGTTCACAAAGTATTTGTAAATACTTACCTGTCTCCTTAAATGGACTATGAATGAAAGATATTTACCTTTTCAAGTATTTAAAACAAAGAACATAATACAAAAATAAATATTCCACTTCAGAGAAGTGAGAATAAAGAATTTTGTATTAATAAGAACGACAGACTTTGCATCTACCATTTATTGGGTGACTGCTATATGCTAATACGATGCTCAGTGCTTTAAATTGGCTATCTAATTCTTATAAAAACCTTTCAGGTACCTATGTATACACCTCCTCCTTTTTATTTCTTATTTTATTTTATTTTTTTTTGCAGTACGCAAGCCTCTCACCGTTGTGGCCTCTCCTGCCACGGAGCACAGGCTCCGGATGCGCAGGTTCAGCGGCCGTGGCTCACGGGCCCAGACGCTCCACGGCATGTGGGATCTTCCCAGACCGGGGCACGAACCTGTGTCCCCTGCATTGGCAGGCAGACTCTCAACCACTGGGCCACCAGGGAAGCCCAACCTCCTTTTTAGATGAGATACTGAAGCTCAAAGAATCTACCTAAGTTGCTCAAATGCCAGAGAAGTAATGTTAAGACAGAGATGGGATTCAAACCTAGGTTTATCTGATTCCAAAGCCCTTATATTTCCACTATGACTTCAAGATAGTATAACACAAGAGGCTAATGAAGTAATAAATAGTTACTTTAATTTTCCTCTTAAATAACAGAAAGAATATGTGGGCAGAGAGAAATTTAACACTTAAAAAAATTAATCACAAAAAGATTTATAACTTGACTAAAATCCATTTAATGCATCTATGGAAAAAAAACTTTAAAGTACATTACTATTAGGTATTTAACAGACAATCATAATGAAAACTAAGTCAGTGAAATGTAAAAACAGAGAAAGACGGTAACAAAGGCATTAATAACAAAGAAAATGCATAAATTAACTCACCATTCTTCCTTTATACTTTCAAGATTATCTACTTCTTTCATTCTCTTTTGCCTTACTGTAAAAGTAAAAAGAAAAATAAGGTAAAGTTCTTAATACAGTATTTTAAATAAATTCATTCCAGCGTATGCAGTAAGATTCTTTACCATTAAGTTATTATGTACTCCTAAAGTAGCACTAAAGGGGTCTTAAGAACAAGTGACCTAACTCAAAGCTGTCACTTTCACTTAAAGTAAAGCAATAAAAAGTAAATTCTGGGTTCGGATAATCTGACAAAAGAAAGATTTCATAAAAGTTATGATGAGGGCAATTCCGGGGCGGTCTAGTGGTTAGGACTCTGTGCTTTTACTACCAAGGGCCCATGTTCAATCACTGGTTGGGAAACTAAGATCCTGCAAGTGCTCGCGGCCAAAAAAAATTTATGATGAAAAATAATGTATGCTTTGGTTTAATAACAAACAAAAGTGAATGTAAACATTTCACTCAATCTCCAATAGTAACAAAATATCAAATCAATATAAACTCATTCTTTTTTTCCAATGTAGATGATTTTTGTCAAAATTTCTTTAAAACATCTTTATTAGAGTATAATTGCTTTACAATGGTATGTTAGTTTCTGCTTTATAACTAAGAGTATCAGTTATACATATACATATGTCCCCATATCTCTTCCCTCTTGCATCTCCCTCCCTCCCACCCTCCCTATCCCACCCCTCTAGGTGGTCACAAAGCACCGAGCTGATCTCCCTGTGCTATGCAGCTGCTTCCCACTAGCTATCTGTTTTACGTTTGGTAGTGTATATATGTCCATGCCACTCTCTCACTTTGTCCCAGCTTACCCTTCCTCCTCCCCATATCCTCAAGTCCATTCTCTAGTAGGTCTGCAGAGTCTGTCACACAGAGTGAAGTAAGTCAGAAAGAGACAAACAAATCCCGTATGCTAACACATATATATGGAATCTAAAAAAAAAACAGAAAAAAAAAAAGACCAAAAAATGGTCAGAAGAACCTAGGGGCAAAACGGGAATAAAACAGAGCTCCTCCACAACAAGAGGAGCAACCTCAATGAGAAGCCCACGCACAGCAACAAAGACCCAATGCAGCCAAAAATAAATTAATCAATTTTTTTAAAAATGGAGAGAAGCAAGGGTGAAAAGTTATTTTTGGGGGGGTAAAAAACTGGATTATTTTCTCTCTTTCCCAAACTTTCTGCAATACTCTTGCCCTTACAACAAAAATAATATAAGAAATAAGGAAACAAATGGATGTTTAAAAGAGTCCAAGCCATCTGCCCTTTGAGAGGTCCTGAAAGCAATGACAGACTAGAAGCAATAAGCATACCAAAAGCCTACATCTTGGCTTCTAAATATAATTTTCCAAGAACAGGAATCATGGCTCCTTAGAGAAAAGGCTGATTCCAGGGCTGGGACAGAGAAAGAACAAATGAGCCCGAAATATCTTGCACCAGAAAGTAAGATGGTGCTCAGTGAATGATGAAGACATATCAAAAGGACACTGAAGCCACCTGAAGGGGTTCCCACTGGACAAGTCTGGGAAATGGAACATCAAAGTAAATAATGATACTAATGGATTATAACTCACTGAATAAAACAGAAACCCATGAGGAGTCCATACTATTAGATCTTAAAAAAATCAGGAAAAGATGGACTTGTAAATAAATTCAACAGTCATATGGAATCACCATTACCAAGATAAATTCCAGATATATCCAAGATCTAAAATTTAAAAATTGAACCTGAGGGTGATGTCAGCAAAATGAAAGAATAGGCAGCTCCAAGCTCCTGTCCCCACAGAAACATTGAAAAGCAAGCAGAAACTATTAGAACCAACTTAGAACTCTGGAAAGTAGTCAAAGGTTTACAGCTATCAAGCAAATGATGAATCAAGAAAAATACAACTTAAAAACAGCAGGGAAAACAAACCAATTCAAAACTGGGCAAAGGATGTGAACAGACATTTCTCCAAAGAAGAAATATGAGTAGACAATAAGCACATGAACAGGATGCTCAACATCACTAGTCACAATGAGATACCACTTTATACACATCATAATAGCTATTATTTAATAAAACAAAAATAATAAGTGCTGACAGGGATGTGGAGAAATTAGAACACCGGAATATTGCTGGTGGAAATGTAAAACGGTACAGCTGCTGTAGAAAAGGATTTGGTGGTTGAGGCATTATTCACAATAGCCAAGAAGTGGAAATAATCCAGATGTCCATCAACAGATGAATGTCTCAACAAAATGTGGTATATACATATAATGGAATATTAATTAGCCGTAAAAAGGAATGAAGTTTTGATACATACTACAACACGAATAAACCTTGAAAATATTAAGTGAATTAAGTCAAACACAAAAGGACAAATACTGCATGATTCTAGTTACATTCATATTTCATACAAAGCAAATTCATAGAGATAGAGAAGTAAAATAGAGGTTTTTAGGGACTGGGAGAAGAGAGGAATGTGGAATTACTGCATAACGGGCACAGAGTTTCTTTTTGGGACCATGAAAAAGTCTTGGAAATGGACAGTGGTAATGGTTACACACCATTGTGAATATTATTAATGCTGCTGAATTGTACACTTAAAATTGGTTAAGATGGCAAATTTTATGTTATATATGTATGTATTTTACCACAATAAAAAAAACTTTAAAAAAAAGGCAAACTTTTTTTTTTTTTGTGGTAGGGGGGCCTCTCACTGTTGTGGCCTCTCCCGTTGCGGAGCACAGGCTCCGGATGCGCAGGCTCAGTGGTCGTGGCTCACAGGCCTAGCTGTTCTGCAGCATGTGGGATCCTCCCGGACCGGGGCACGAACCCGTGTCCCCTGCATCGGCAGGCGGACTCTCAACCACTGCGCCACCAGGGAAGCCCAGCAGGTGGATTCTTAACCACTGCACCACCAGAGAAGCCCCTGTCCATGTTATATTCAGAATCGAGTCCAGTTCCACACTGAGGTCTCTTTTCCCCTATCACAATAGTTCCTGAACATAATCTGGTTTCACTGATTTAACTGCTGTCCAGCTCTGTTTCTTCTTTGACATGTATACCTAGAAATCCCATTATCTAAAAATCCATCCCAATGATACTTTAGCAAAAGTATAAAAAGGTGAATACACTACACTATTCACTGTAGTATTATTTACAGCATTGATTGTAACAGCAAAGCCTGTAAAAAGCCTCAACTTGTCCATTAATAGGACTTCTTTTTTTTTTTTTTTTTTTTTTTTTGCGGTACGCAGGCCTCTCACTGCCGTGGCCTCCCCCGCCGCGGAGCACAGGCTCTGGACGCGCAGGCCCAGCGGCCACGGCCAACGGGCCCAGCCGCTCCGCGGCATGCGGGATCCTCCTGGACCAGGGCACGAACCTGCGTCCCCTTCATCGGCAGGCAGACTCCCAACCACTGCGCCACCAGGGAAGCCCCTAATAGGGACTTCTTGAATAAACTATGGTAAATCCACACAGTGGGATGTGCTGTTAAGTGAAAAAAGCAAAATGGAGAAAAATATGTATGATATGGTACTGTTTATCTAAGAAAGAGGTGAACATGAATATATGTATATTTGTTTACATTAGGAAAAAATGAAAAAGTAAACCAAAAAATAAATAATAAGGTTACTTATAAAGTGGGAGAGAGTGCACTGGGTGAAGGGAGTAAGGGCAGAAGCTGGATTTCTCTGAATGTATCTTGTTTTTTAGATCAACTTTGGACCCATGTAAATATTTTATGTACTTATAAAACAAAGTTAAACTTTAAAAAAGCAATCCCTAAAAACTGAAAGTAAAAATGAAACGAATTAACTGAACTGACAGAGAGGAATTATTTCACGTAAATTTAAAACATGGTAATTTTACCATATATCCTAGTGGGATGAACCCAAAGAGGAAAAATGAAGTTTCTAGTAGTCATATTATTAGCAATAATATATTAGTATTGTTTATATGAAAAGTATGGTATAAAGATAAAGCAGTGGGTCTCAACCAGGAGGCAATAGTGCCCCTAAGAAGATATCTGGCAATGGCCGGAGGCATTTTTGGGCTGTCACAACAACTGAGGTGGAGGGTGCTACTGGTATCTAGTAGATGAGGTTAGGGATGCTGCTGAAAATCCTACAATGCACAAGACAGCCCCCACAAGAAAGTATTGCCCAAAATGTTAACAGTGTTGAAGTTGAGAGACGCTGAGATAAAGCAAAGAAGTAATTATGATCTGTCCCTAAAAACCAAGATTTTTTTTCAGAGTAAGAGTAAAGAGATAGAAATATAAAAATCAAAGAAGCCAAGCAAAAATCCTGTAATTCTATATTTTAAATCAGAAACATCGTTATGAACATCATCATTTCTCTTAAGAACATACATAGTAGCTCTGTCCACTGAAAAGGCCAAAAAGCAATAAGCAATCAGACAACAATGAGCACAGCACACCTACCGCCCAGATTTGTGGTCTCCAGATACTATTTCCCACCAAAAGGAATCAGTTTCTTAGAGAAATGGCTGTCTCCAGGTCTGGGGCAAGAAATATGCACTTTATGCCTTGTATTGACATCTTGGATTAATGTCAAAAGGAATCAGAAGTTGGGAATTCCCTGGCAGTCCACAGGTTAGGACTCGATGCTTTCACTGCGGGGGCCTGGGTTCGATCCCTGGTCAGGGAACTAGGATCTCCCAGGCCGCGAGGCACAGCCAGAAAAAACAAAACAAAATGAAAGAAAGGATTCAGAAGTCAGTTTGAAAAGGCTACCATTGGTGAAAGATGGGACTGAAAAACAGCTACATGAATTGAAACACATCAAGTACAAGTTCATATTGATACTCATTAAAACACAGAAACTCATTCACTGGTCATCTTTCCAGAACAGTAGGGTACCAACTTATTTTGAAAACTGGCAAATAAGGGAAAGAATCAAGTATTCATCCTGCCTTTCCTGTATGAACTAACTCAGAGTAATCAAAGAGTTAATAAAAGAAGTTTCCTTTATAAATGAATTCAGCTAAATGAAGGTTTATAGAATTAGAGTATCTCCAATTT